ATTTTTATTTGAAAGGCAGATTTTATGCAGAGAGGAGAGGCAGAGAGTTCTTCCATTTGCTGGTTCACTTCATAAATGGCCACAAAGTCCAGAGCTGGGAAATAAGGAGCTTCTTCCAGGTCTCCCACACGAGCACAGGGAATGGCTCTGGCCATTCTTTTATCATCTTACCAAAGCACAGGCTGAGAGCTAGAGCAGAAGTGGAGCGGCTGAGACATGAACTGGCGCTTGTTTGGAAAACCAGTGCTAGCAGCCATGGGGTTAGCTTGCTGACCCACCATACAGGCCCCGTCCTTGTTTTTCTACTGCACATTCTTGTTAGCATCCTTTTCAGATTAATTTTTCAGTTTTACCCTTTTGTCCATTGTAGCTACAGTGTCTGATGCTTTTTTTACCTTTTGGTGGTACTTGCCATTCTCATTAAATACCATTGATAATGGCCTTACATACGGAGGGCACTATGAGTTGCTGTGCCCCACAGAGGTTAGGGATGAATATAAAGACATGCTGTGTAATGTTTGCACTTATTTTCCAGGACAGTTTTTAGCTTAAGCTAAGCATAATCTCCACAAAGATAGGCATCCATCATTATTGTGGCAAGCTTTCATTTTAGTTCTTCTGAAAAATGAGAAACAGAACATGTTTACCTTGTGAGGCACATGGTACATGCCACTGCATGGCAGCATCTTGTGCCATTCTAATGTAGAGAAAAGTGCATGAGGAAAACTATTTATGGAAACAATTTTTCAAAGTGACAGGAGGCAAGTTGAACAGCATTTTATGAAAAGAACCTTCTCTTTACATTTTAGGCATATAATATCTGTAGAAAAATCAACTTAGCATAGCAGGCAACTCAGAAATTCATGATGCATATTCTTAGCATGCCGTAAAGGCCCTTGGTTAGTACTCTGCAGACCTTTCCCTCTGGTCCATGAACAACTCGGAGTTTCCTAAGGAATCCTGGCTTATCTGCTTTCATTCTTCTGTGTTTCTTTGGTCCAGAAGGTATTTTGCTGCTTGTTTCGTGTCATCCTTTTCCTGTAACTCTTGACACATTCCCCTGCCATTCCTCCACTATATTTGCTTGTTTTCATATTCGTCTCTTGTGTTAGGCAAGCATTTCCTTAAGAGGCCCTTCAGCATGCATTAGGACTGTGAATGGATGCCTACAGCTGAATTCCTAGGAAGGATTCAGTCCAGAATGAGAGGAGTAAAAGTTTCTATCCAAGAGGGCCTTGGCTATAAAGGTCTGCCAGTGGGCGTGAGCAGGACTTGTTTCGAAGACTGGAGATTGAGAATGTGGAACTTTTACGTAGAACAAGAAGCACATTGTGGTGCCTCTATGTAATTTTATCCATTATAACCAGCCCTAGGATTTCTTTTTTATTGTGGATTTTATCTTAAATTTGCAGAAGCCTTTTTCCACTCTGAGTACCTTTTAAAAATATTCCATGAACTTTTGAAGGCACTCAACACTTTCAGATGTCACAGTTAAAACTGGATTTTCATATAACATGGGGAATGAGTACAACTTTATCTTTTATAGCTACCCATGTGCCTTGCCACTTTTCGGTGAATAATCTGTTTTTAACCATCTGAGTTAAAATGTCATCAGGAGCCAAGAACTCCATCTGGTTTCTCAGCAACACAGGAGCCCAAGTACTTGGGTCATCTTCTGCCTTCCCAGATGTATTAGTGAGAAGGTTGGTTAGAAGCAGAACACCTCGCATGGAAATTGCCACTTTGATATGGATTGCCTGAGTTGCAGTTTGTGGCTTAACTTGCTATGCCACAATGTCAGCCTCAAATGTCATCATTATCTTGTATGAAGTTACCTTCTCTGCATCTATTTTAAACCTCTTTTGTGTATGTTTAAAATAATTTCTTAAGTCATTGCCAATGTCAAACTTGTTAAGTATCGGAACAATCTACTTAAATGTTTCACAAGGCCTCTCTGCCCTCACTGCTTTTTCAGAGTTTTCATGGGTCATCTTGCTTCTTTTATGTAAAAATTTTAGAGTTGACTAAGTTTTTTTTAAAAAGACATTAAGGTTTTTATTGAAGTTACACTAAGTTTGCAAGATAAGAATGTGTATTAAGTTGTCATGTCCCAGAGTCACAGGTCTTCCCTTGTGTTTGTCTCTTCTCAGTTGAAATACAAAACTTTCTTTTTGTCTAAAAAAAACACCTTCATAATAAAATTCTGTTTTATACCTCATATTCTAGAGAATTTATTACCTTAGTTTAGTAACGAGCTATGTTTCAGACTCCAACGAAGTGGCATGCTGAGGTTCTTGTGTATGTTGAAAAAAGTAGATAAAACTTTGAGGAATCTCTTAAATCAAAATAAAATTTTTCTTGAGTTTGAAGCTAAAGGGAATTGGTTCTGTAAAGCAGGACCCCAGAGCTGCATCTGGTCTCCTGCATAGGTAGCAAGGACCGAAGCGCTCAAGGCATGATCTGCTGCCTCCCAGCATGCACTAAACAGGAAGCTGAGTCAGAAGCAGAGTACTGGGGCCTTCAGACCACACACTCGGTTATGGCCTGTGGGAATCCCAAGCAACAGTTGAGGCTGCTTTGCTAAAGACCCCTAAAGGCTACTCTTAGCTGCATTTCAACTGGAAGTGACACATGCCTTCTCTGTTCTTTCCTTATGAGCAGGCATTAGTTGCATTCCTTTAATGGAATTGTGGGAGGATGGGAAATCTAAGACAGGGACTCTGTGGTGACCAATAGGTCATCGTGTGTGTTGTTTCCAGTGGGACAGCATGATAATGTTGGCTTAAGCAGCCAGCTGGCCTTGTTTTACTTGTAAAAGACGTGTTCTGCAGAGTCTAGTTTCATTTTTCTTGCTTTCTTTCCTCTGTAAGATTGTACCTTTGTCATCACTGCCAGCAAGAGAGGTGTACAATACACAGTGGATACGTGTATCGAGACATCACATATAGAACATAAACATGTACAGTTTTTATGTATCACTTAAAAACTAAGTAAACATTTTTAAAGATTTATTTATTTTTATTGCTAGTCAGATATACAGAGAGGAAGATCTTGTGTCCCCAAATGACCAAAACAGCCAAAGCTGAGCCGTTCTGAAACCAGGAGCCAGGAGCCTCCTCCAGGTCTCTCTCACAGGTGCAGGGTCCCAAGGCTTTGGGCCATCCTCGACTGCTTTGCCAGGCTACAAGCAGGGAGCTGGATGGGAAGCAGGTCAGCCAACATTAGAACCGGCACCCATATGGGATCTTGGCATGTTCAAAGCGAGGACTTTAGCCACTAGGCCACTGCATCAGCCCCAAAGACTAGTTAAATCTATAAGCCAAACATAAGGTACATATTTAGTGCCCCTTGGGACACTTGCATCACAGAGTCCCTGGGTTTTAATCCTGCATCTGCCTCTGATGGCAGCCTTCTCTTAAGGCGTGACCTGGGCGATAGCATGTGCTGGCTCCGGCGCAAGGGAGACCTGGATGGAATTTCAGGCTGCTGGCTTCAGCTTTGTTCATTGGTGGCTGTTTCAGGCATTTTGGGGTGAGCTGGCAGATGACAGGTGTCTCTGTCTCTCATTGTCTCTGTCTCTCACTATCTCTTTCAGATAACAAATAAATAAATAACAAAATTGAACAGATAAGAATAGAAACTTTTAAACTCTTGTTAGAATCTTTGGAGATTGATACATAAAAAATTTTATATTTTCAACTGAATGAATAAAACAGTGAATAACATTTCACACTTCAGTTTACCTGTGGGATATCCAGGTTGAAAATTCTGTTGAACAGCATTGAATAATCATTAGGACTATCGTCTCATCTATCTGTGAGGAGTTAGGGAAATAATTTTTTTAAATGACTTGAACATTTTATGTTTTTGTTTTTATTTGAAAGGAAAAGATACAGTGAGCATGAGTGAGAGAAAATGAAAGATTTTTCAGTTGGTGGTTCATTCCCCAGTTGCTGGCAATGGCCAGGACTAGGCCCGTCTCAAGGCTGGAGCTGGGAGGTTTAGAGTCCTGTGGGGATGACAGAGACCCCGGGTTTGAGCAGTTTTCTGCTGCCTCTAAGAGTGTGTGTGTAACAAGGAGCTTGAGGCAGAAATAGAGCCAGAATTTGTACCGAAGCCTCAAACATAGGAGGTGGGCATCTCCAACGCCATGTTACATACTGTGCTACATACTCTCCCTTAGGGACATGACTGAACTGAACTTTTAATGACATTTACATGTTTTCTGTAATTTGTAAAGTTGATATTTGTTTGCTGTATTGTTCAACATAGTTATTAAAAAATGTGTATATAAAAATGATTATTTTAAACAGGTTTACAAAGCAATAACTAGGCTTTAAAAAATAGAATATCTTTTCCAGAATACTTTGTACATCTATTCAATTTTTTTTTTTGGATCATATACTTGAAAGGATTTTAACCATTTTCTAAAAATCTGCAGAACTTTACAATGTGTGCCTAGCAGTTTGGAATCATTTTTCTCAAGCTGGAACTGAAAAATACGTGTTTGACTGAGTATACCAAGTCATTTTGTCCTACTGGCTGACCCAGATCTCTTGGAGTTTGACTCTTGAATTATTAGGTCATTAGCACATGTCTTAGCATTATCTTCATTGACTGTGTTATGTACAAGAATGTTTCATTGCCCTTTCATGAATTTGCTTATGTCACAGAAGGAACTTCTGGGCGTGTGAAAGGTGGTTTTAGTTGAATAGCTAATAACTTAGCAGTCGGAAAACTTGCTTTGCAATTATTTTTTCATATCTGCATTGTGACAATTGATGGATGAACAAACCCTGAGACATCTAAGCTATTATGTGTTGTATTTTTCTGCTCAGTTAACAGCTCCTGATGTATCTAGAATACATGAGATAAATAAGCACTGCAGTAGTTGATTAGTCAAAGTTATGCTGTTTCTAAACTTGGTTGGATAGGAATAATCTCTTGTAATACTAAGAGGCTTGCATTTTGTTTCTTATCCATAATAATGTTCTTTTTAGGCAATAGAGATTATGACAAGGATGACCCGTTGGAATTTAAGTCACATCAGTGGTTTGGAGCATCTGTGAGGTCAAAACAGGATAAAATTTTGGTAAGTCTTTTGGCTATTTCTCACAGGTGAGTTACTCTATTTACCTAGAGAGTGCTATGATTTCAAGCTGGAAGTAAAATGCAGTATACTTAAGGGAGCAGAGGGTAGTGACATGAGATAGCTCTGATTACAGGCCATCTCATCTAAGAATACTAAATTTCTTGTCCTTCTTTTTCTACCTTCATTCCCATATCATGTTTTTTCCTATCCCACCTTTTTAAAAAAGGTGTATTTTTAATTTATTTGAATGGCAGAGTAAGAAGAGTGGGAGAGCGATCTTCCATCTGCTGGTTCATTCCTCAGGTGGCTGCCACCACCAGAGCTGTGCCAGGCTAAAGGCACGAACCAAAGAGCTTCTCCCGGGTCTCTCATGTGGGTGCAGGGTCCCTTGGATTTGGACCAGCCCGCTCTGTATTTCCAGGCGAGGAACTGGGAGTTGAATAGGAAGTGGAGCTGCTGGGTCTTGACTGCTACTGCTATGGGATGCGGATATCTTCAGGTCCAAATTAACTTGCTGTGCCGTGACCCGAACTGCTCTTGTCCCTCTTACCCACTTGTTGGTTCCTATCAGTTTCTGTCTAGGATATATATAGTAACACATAGTATGTAAAATAGCAATCTATATAATAATAGATTATTTATGTATTAATAAGAGATTATATAATATATAGATTGTATTATATATAGTAGATTATTTATATTACTATCTAATAACTTATATTGCATTTATTATATTACTGTACACATGTGACTTTATACAAATGTATAAATGTATATATAAATCACAAAATATATAGATTCACATATAATTATATATGAAAGCACATTTATGTTATAATATATATTATATTATAACACATATAATCACATAACCATAATAATAAAATAATGTAGATAATTATATAGATTATATATAATAGGTTATATATTGTTACATAATAATATGTAATGTAAAATAATGTAATATAAAAATAATATACAATAAAAATAAAAAGAATAAAATGTATGGTAATAATAGGATATATGTTAGTAATACACATTTCCAAGAGCTTTTTGAAGACATCTGTGCATATGTATCTGATGTTTTTGCATATTCTCTTGCTTGCCCTCTTAGTATCATTAAACAAGATCAGTCAGTCCTCCCGCTTTTAACCACTGCTTTTCCACTTAAATGAAAAGTCATAATGCAAAATCAACAATAAAAAGAAAAATAGAACTTTACAATGCCATGAAGTTAAATGACATGTTACTAGATATGACAGCCTCCATTACACAGCTACTATACATCCCCTTCAATGAAAAGCCACAAAACAAAATCAACATCAGGAAGAAAAAAGAAATTAACAACACCATGAAGTTAAATAGCATGCTATACCATGCCTAACGTGTAGCTGAAGAGATGAAAATCATGAACCTTCTCTAAGAAAATGATGCTGCTGTATGATCTGCGAGTGAGTCATTGAATGATTAAATTAGAAGAAAGTGTTTTGAAGCGATGAAACCAACAGAAAACAACAAAACCCATGCGATATAGTTTCTGCTGATTTTTGTTGGTGAAATTGTTGATTTTGTATTATGACTTTTCATTTAAGGGAATGTGCAGTAGCTGTGAAATGGAGACTAACATCCAGATGTGAGGATACAATGTAGTATGCATTTCTACTTCCAGACAAAGATGGACTTGCAATAAAACTGTATGCTGTATCTTGACAATAGGATGCTGGATGTGATGGACATATGACTGTGTATGAAGAACTGTATTTTAGTAATGATATAGAGGAACTAGGTGGGGGGCTAGGAGTTGGGGAGGGGATAAGGGAAATGCCAGGAGCCTATGGAACTGTATCATTAAATGATAATAATAAAATGTTAAAAAAAACTAACCAAAAAACCTCCGAAGAAACACAGATGCTTTTCTTGGTTTCTGTGGTACAGTAGTTTCCTCGGTTTATTCCAGTTTTGACGTCCTTTAGTGGCTCTTCGGCTCAGTGTCTTAAGTATTGAGGTGTCTTTAAGCTTCCTTCTGGTCACCATTTTTTCTCTAACTTACATTTTACCTGAACACTTCTATCAGTCATGATGGTAAATGCAGTGTAGGATATTAGTTCCATGTCTCTGTGGCTCTTGGTCCTCACATTTAGCATTTCCATTTGGATATTGACTGAACAAATTACTTGAAATGAACACGATCTAGACAGGAGTTTTTTTTTACCCTCTAACAAGCAGCAAAACCCCCCAAGTAACTGTTGCTATAGAAATCTTTCTCACTCCATCTTACCCGTTCCAGCCCATGCCAGTCTCTTCTTTCAGTCTGTACCTTAGTGCCCGTGCTCCCCCTGCTTGCATTCATTGTCTTACCCACTTTCACTTGGCTGCCTCCTACTGTTTGGATTGCAGCTTTACTTTCTTTTGCTCAGAGAGCCCTTTTGGATTCTAATTACTTGCATAGCATCACCCTTTCCTCTGATTATGGGGCGTGAGAAGCTTTGTTTAGCAAGTTTCAGCAGGGACTTACAGGTTGCATTTAATTTTAGCAGTTAGCTCAAGGATGGGTTCAGAGTGGGGCATTCTAGGTTGGAACTTGCACAGAGTCAGAGGTAAGCAAGAGGATCACAATAGTGGCCTATGGTTTTTGGTTTTGTTTTTGTTTTTTTCTGGGCAAATGTAAAATATCTCACTGTCCATTTTACATTATTAATGTGAATGTTTTACCTCAAAAAGTATCACAGAAGATCCATCTAATTGTTTCTAGTGAAAGAAACTGTTCCATTTTGGTTAGAGTATTATTCCTTGTGACATACTTTATTCTGTTGCTTCTGCATGCTATTGAAATCTAGAAACTTGAAAAAAAAATCAGTTTATTTGGAAAGTAAATGAAAGAAGCGCTGCAAATTCTTTTTAAAAAGTTTATTTCCCTATCTCTCCTATTATTTGAAAAAACAGAGTGATATTTCATGCACTGCTTTATTCCATAAAAGTCTGAAATTGGGCCAGCTTGGTGTGTTCCAGGAGCCAGGAATTCAGTCTGGATCTCACATGAATCTGATCTGTAATCTGCTACTTTATGCCACAGGAGCAGCATCCCGTTGGGGCACTGGTTTGAGTCCCAGCTGTTCCACTTCCAGTGCAGCTCCCTGTGTATGGCCTGGGAAAACAGTGGAAGATGGCCCAAATCCTTGTATCCCTGCACTTATTTGGAGGCCCAGAAGAGACTCCTAGCTTCTGGCTTTGGATTGGCTCAGCGTCAGTCATGGTGACTATTTAGGGAGTGAACCAGCAAAATGAAGATCTTTCTTTTTGAAGGAATACTATTCAGCTATCAAAATATGTAATTTTGTTATTTGTGAAAATAGGGCTGGAGCTAGCAGTCATTATGCTAAGTGAGGTATGCCAGGTGCAGAAAGGTAAGTACCAATTACTTGTAATGAAATTGTGCAGAATGCTAAGTCAATTTCACATGAGTTGAGTATATAATGGTGGTTGCCAGAGACTAGGGATTGTAGTGGGGTGATGAGATATGGAAAAGTTATTCAACTGCTGCTGAGTTATAGCTAGATAGCAGCAAGATGTTTTGTTATTCTGTAGCTCAGTATAGTGACTGTGGGTAATGATATTGTGCTGTATTTATATTTTTAGCTGGGAGAATTTTGAGTGTTTTCCCAATAAAATAAATGATAAACATGTAAGGAGATAGATATGTTTACCTTGAACATTATGACATATGAATATGTAAGGAAACGTCACATGGAACCTCATAGAGATGTATAACTTTTTGTATCTGTTAGGAATAAAATGAAATTTTAAACAGATTGGTTCAATCTGTGATCTTCAGAGAAGTATCCTTGAAATAGTTTTGTTATTTTGAAGAAAATACATAGATTATAGCTATGGCCTTTATAGAGAAAAAAAGATTTTTGAATGACAGGATGACTGGCGAGAGTGTGCGTGAGAGAGTACAGTCAGCACCTGGTTTGCTCCTGAAACGACTGCAGTGACTGGCCTTTGCAGGCTGAAGCCAGGAGCCCAGAGCTATACCAGGGTCGCCAGTGTGTAGCAGGGACTTGCAAGCTTACACTATTTCTAGCTGTTTTCCCAGGTACAGTAGTAGTCAGTTAGATTGGAAGTGTAGCTCAAATCAGAGCCCTACATAGGAAGCTGGCATTGCAAGTGGCAGCCTCTCCTGCTGTGCCGTACGTGCTGGCTTCTTTTAAAAGGACTAAAAAATTTTTACATCTTATTAATATAAGAACTCTTATTAATTATAAGAACTTATTAATGTAAGTATTTCATCGATACTGTTTATTTTAAATATTTATTTATTGGAAAGTCAGATATACAGAGAGGAGGAGAGACAGAGAGGAAGATCTTCCGTCCAATGTTTCACTCACCAAGTGAGCACAACAGCAGATGCTATGCCGATCCGAAGCCAGGATCCAGGAACTTCTTCCGGGTATCCCATGCGGGTGCAGGGTCCCAAAGCTTTGGGCCGTCCTCAACTGCTTTCCCAGGCCACAGGCAGGGAGCTGAATGAGAAGTGGAGCTGCCAGGATTAGAACCGGAGCCCATATGAGATCCTGGTGGGTTCAAGGCGAGGACTTCAGCCGCTAGGCCATGCCGCCAGGCCCCATCGATACTGTTCTTAAGATCGCTGTATTTCTTTCCTCTTCTAATCATCCTCTTGTCTTCCTTTCATTTTTTTCCATTAAGTTTTATCAAGACTGTTTTTGATCCATTGTATTGTCATAGGCTTAATTCAACAATAATCACAATATTTGAGAAGATGTAAGAAGACTACAGTTTTATGGGAGTATAAATAAGAACTAAAAACAACAGCTATGTCACAAGATGTGCATTGCGTTTCTATACATTTTTTTTTTAGTATTCTATATTAACTTACACATACCAGAGAAAAGATATTTGTCTTTTTCAGACTGGCGTATTTTATAAATTGTAATGGTTTCCAGTCACAAATATTTTGTTGCAAAAGACAATGTATTTTTAAAAACTTGTTTATATAAAGTGAATAAATTTCCTGTATTTCACAGTACATAATCAGAAGCATAGCAGTATTTCCCACCCTACTCTTCCCATGTCCACATTCCACAGCCAGCCTCCTACTTCCTTATTTATGTTTATTTATTTAATTGTTTGCATTGGCATACTTCACAAACCCAGGATTAACACTAGCTAAATACAATTCACTACATAGTGATAAAACACATAGCAGAGTAGAAAATAATAGACAATAAAAAACCAGTTCCTCAAGAATGCAAAGACAGTAAGTAATAATCTAATTCCAAATGTTAATTTTGCTCATATATATTACATTTTTAGTACTCTGTATTAGTTAACACAGATTAGGGAAAACATGCGAGATATATATCTTTTTGGGACTGGCTTATTTCACTAAGCACAATGGTTCCAGTTGTATTCATTTTGTTAGGAAAAAAAAAGACAGGATTTCATTTCATTCTTTTTTATAGGTGAGTAGTATGCCATACGGTAGATCTCAGATTTTCTTTATTCAGTCATCTGTTGATGGACATCGGGTCTCTTGAAAAATCTTTACCTGCCACTGTGATGAGGAATTTAAAGTATAGGATGGAGTTGATTTTTATTAAAGTGATGCTGTGCTCTTAGGCACTGTAGATGGTTTGAACTACTGATTTTACAGAGAGTGTTTGTGTCATGAACTATACCTTTGATTGTAGGCCTGTGCTCCCTTGTACCACTGGAGGACCGAGCTGAAGCAGGAGAGAGAGCCTGTGGGGACGTGCTTTCTTCAAGATGGAGCAAAGACTGTTGAGTATGCGCCATGCAGATCAAGTATGTGCAGGAAATTGTACCATTGAGTAAGAAGGGTGCAAAGTCTGGTTTGCTAAAACTGTGTGTGTGTGTGTGTGTGTGTGAGAGAGAGAGAGAGAGAGAGAGAGAGATAAAATAGGTAGACATGTTGTAATGTTGAAAAGACCAAAAAGGAAAGTTTTATAAAGAAAATGCCAGTGTAAGCAGTCTTGTCTTTCCTACCAAAGAACTCAGGTTCTTTTTCCAGGTTAGTGGTGATTGATACGTGATTAAGGAAAGTGTCTGGTGAGTTTAACAGAGAAGTGGTTTCCCACAGGCCAAGCTTCTGATTTACAAGGTCTGGTTTAGGCCTGGATATCTGTATTACCAAGCTCTACAAGATGGTTCTGAGAAGTCTGAAAATTACTACTTTATAGGAATAATGTTGAAAATTAAAAAGAAAAAAGAGTGTCTTAAAGAGCCAGAGTTTGAATAAGAAAATGAACCTGGTGCTGGGAGCCTTGATTCTGAATTTTCCTGCTTTTAATCTGAGCTTTTTTTTTTTTTAAACTTCCAAGACCTCTCTTCTGGTTGTCCAGAAAGTTTCAATATTCTTCTCTAATGTTATTTGGCATTTATGGTGAAATTAACACTGTGAGGAAAGATGATTTTTAAACACCTATGGTTTTGATTTTGCTTTTCTGTACTTTGTAATTCTCTCTCCTTTTAAATTCTGATCGTTTTGCTCCCTATCTTTTGTTGAATTGGCCACTGTTGCAGATTCTCTGAATGCCCAAACCATAATAATAGGCTACTGAAATTCAGCACTATAGTCTCCCTTTATTTAGGGGGTATATTTTCCAAGACATTCGTCAGATCATAAAGAAGTGTCAATAAAATAGTTTATTTCAGTGTGACAAGTTTTTGAAACTCAAGTAAATAACAGGTCTGCAGAAAGTTAAGTGCATATTAAGAAAAACTGCATGTTTGTGAACACTTATACCAAAATAAACTCAAATTTTAATTGTATTTTTAATGAATTTTTTGAATTTAATTTGCATGCTAAGGTTTAATCCAAAAGTTAGGCACACCAGAAAATTAACAGCAACACTAATAAAACAGGATAAAGAGCAAAATACTGAAATAAGTTATTAAAACTTTTGAAATATGTTTTTCTAGAATTTTCCATTCATCTTTCAGACTGTATTGACTGCAGGTATCTGAAACTGTGAGCAGCAAAACAGTGGATAAAGGGGAAAATAAAGTGTGTGTGCCTGGAGTACTTTTTAGGAATTATGTTTTATATTACTTTGGCCACCAAATAGATTATTAGTAACAGAAGCACCACATGTAAGGTTCTTTATTCTAGGATTTTTTTCTTTATCAATTGGTATGACCTTATGTGAGTATTCATGCCATTAAAGGAAATATTCTGTGTTCAGAATTCTAGGTACTTGAGCCTCTAGGAAACTGAAAGTTATTTGATGAAACCTAGTGTTAAATGGCAAATAAAACTCACAAGAATTCCTCCTGTTTACTCAGATCCATACTGTTGGTGAGAAAGCCTTGTCTACACACGATGGAGCAAGCAGGAGCTTTATCCTCACTGCTTGATGCCATCTGCATTGCTACCTTTATGTTAGTATTTTGAACCATCATTTCTGATGGTGTGTAGACTGTGTTGTAAAATATTCCTACAATGAGAATATAATTTCATAGCTGTTAAAAGCAAGCCAACTCTGGTGTTCCAGGTTTACATCTTAACATTTGTGTGATGTGTGCACACAAAAAATCTTGCCTACTTGGACAGATGTAGTAGTGAAGATTCAGAGAGTTGAGCCAGTTTCTTCCTATATCTTATGTCTTTGAGTGATCAGAAGTGGACTTGAACCCAGGTCTGTCTTACTGCACAAGAACTCTTCCCTGCTTTACTAACAACAGAAACATCTTTTTGGTGCTGGCGTGAGGTCTCTGGCTAACTCTCTGTTTCTAAGTACTAACATCCCATATGGTGCTGCTTTGTGTTCCGACTGCTCTACTTCCCATCCAGTTCCCTGCTGTAGCTTGTGGGAAAGTGGTGGAGGATGTCCCAAATGCTGGGACCCTGTACCCACAAGCGAGACCCCAAAGAAACTTCTGGCTTTGAATTAGCTCATCTCTGGCTGTTGTGGCCACTTGGAGAGTGAACTAGTGGATGTAAGATCTTTCTCTCTTTCTCTTTCTCTCTGTAAATCTGCCTTTCTGACAGAGAATTTTTTTTTTTTAAGAAACTGCCTTTTATTTCAGTGGTTTCTATATTAAGCAGCTTTTCTGTAAAGACTATATTCTGCTTCTTTCACAAATGCAAGTTTTAGCAATTCCTGTTATGTGAAAGTATGTAGAAACCTACTGAAAACACATGCTTAATTGTTTGCAGTAACAGATACACAAGCAGCTGAACCCCCATTTCACACCAACACATGCTTCTTTGTCCACCAAGGATAACTGTCCCTGATGTTAGGATTGAGACTAGCTACCCATATTTTAATGTTATGCCCTTGTGTGTCTTCTGCAAAATGCTATCTCTTATTTGACTTAGCAAGGAAATTATAAGGTCCTTTTTCAGTGTACTTCGCAAGATTATTAAACATCCAAATCTGGTGAGCAGACTATGGCTTGTGGACCTGTTTTTGTAAATAAAATTATCTTGGAACCCCGCAGCCTTCATTGTTTACATGTTATCTGGGAGAATTAAAGAGTGAGAGTTGAGCAGTTGCCATCACCATATGGTCATGCTGTAAAATATTTACAGAAAAAGTTTACTGAGACCTTACATAAATTATAAAACCTCAAACTTTCGTAAAAACTGAGACAAAAAAGCAAAGTCAATGTCTTTCTTCCTAATAAGTGTTGCTTTCAGTATCCCTGGTTATTGTATATACCTTTTAATTACTTTTTAAAGATTTATTTATTTACTTGAAAGGTAGATTTATAAATTGAGAGGTTTTTTCATCCATCAGTTCTCCTCCCAAATGGCTGCAGTGACGGAAGCTGGGTCAGTCTGAAGCCAAGTCAGATCTGCCATATGTATGCAAGAGCCTGAACTTCAACCATCCTTCATTGCTTTCACAGGCCATCATCAGGGAGTTCCGAGCAGAGCCACTGCGTGTTGAACACTCTGGTGTTCTTGTGGGACATGAAAGCCACAGGTGGTGCCTTTACTCACTACACCATAGCGCCGGCTCTTATACATGACATTTTTTTTTAAAAGATGTGTTTGAATAATAGGATGATCTATCCCCATCCCAGCCATACATAGTGAAAGAGAGAGAGGGACCTCTTTTATCCTCTGTTTTACTCACTCAGTGGTTGCAACAGCCCAGGGCTGGGTCAAGCTGAAGCTAAGAGCCCAGTGTTTCGTCTTGGTCTCCCACATGGGTGGCAGAAACTTAAGTGCTTGAGCCATCATTTGCTGCTTCCCAGGCATATTCGCAAAAGGCTAGATCAGTAGCAGAGTACCCAAAACTTAAACCAGCACGACAGTGTATGATGTGGGCATCCCAACAGCAGCTTTACCTACTGCATCACAGAACCTGTCTGTCTGCTTTCAGTTTAACCTTTGAAGTATTAAGGCTACATACAAGCCAAGGTTATGAGGTGTATCCTGTCCAGAGAAAAATCTCAGGATTGGGAGTGTGAAAACCTAGATAATCCCACATTCCACTGACATCCACCTATAGCAGTGAATAATTCTCTTAACCACCGTATACTTTGTTTCATCATTGATAAAATACTCATTGAGACAGAAAAAAAAAACATTAAAAACACAAACTGAAAACTTCAGAGACACAAATTTAGTGTGTGCCTTCTATCCTTTAGTAAGTCGTACAGCCATTGGTTCTATATGATGATGATGGATTTTATTGAACTGCATGGCTAACTGCTTGATTGTGGTGATACTGTATAGATTTTGTTTGTTTTAGGTTTGTTTGCCGTGGATGGGGGGCTCCACTGTTCCTCATCAGTTTACCTTTTGACTAATTGTGTCAAAACTGAATCTGTGACTGTTCTTGGCATTATACAGAGGTCAGATGTCCATCTGTTCAGGAAGATCCTCCTCATACTTTCAACTGCATGCTCAGACTGTCTTTTGTTCCTTTTGTTTGCTTTCTAGTCATGATGCTTTTTGGACATAGAATTTCTCAGTTAATGATATCCAGTTGGCCTTTCTTTCCCCTTTTTCCTAACTGACTAATCAATATATTCTTGAGTTGAGATAGCAGTAGCATCATGGTGTAGACACACCTGGGTTCCGTTCCATACTCTGATTTACTAGCTAGCTTGCCATGGTCAAGTCACTTCTTTTCTGTAAGCATAATTTTCTTTGCCTATACAAATTGTGAGGATTAAAGGTATCTCTCATGGGATTGCTATAAAGCTTAAAGGACAGTGCTACCTAAAATGTTGTAACGTAATAGTTGGATGACAATAAGAGCATGTTAAACGCTAGCTGATGTGACTGTCATAATCAATAACTACTGTTTATAATATCGTTGCCAGACTTAATAAATTGGAGAATCATTAGTCATCTGGAAAAATAAACAGCAGAGTCTTCACTGAAATCATATTCAACATGAAAGTTTTTAAGCTGACAAAACACTCAGTTTATTATCTGCCTGTTAAAACATTTTTTTAAGGACAGACTTTTTTTGTAGTTGTATGTTTTTGGAAACCAAATAAAATAGATAATGGTATAGTGCGATAATCAGAAAAGGGTGTCTTTACAAGTGGCCTGAAATCCTTCTCCAGATGCAGCTTGACCGAAGGAAGTCAGTGGCTGCTTTGAGGTCAGAGCAGAATTGCATTGTGTGATTCACTAGATGGTGGAAACCCCAGCCCCACATTTTCCCACTCCCTGTGGGTTACAAAACTTTACGTTGGGGTAGCATTACACACTTGAGGGCATTTTCAAGAAAAAAAAAAATGGGTCAATTCCCAGGCTTTCAGAATGATTTCAGAATCTTTGATGGGATTATTTGGCGGAGGGTTTTGGTTTATCCTTTTGAGTAAAAATAATAGGTATTTTTGGTCCCTATCTTTGGGTAGCAACTACAGTAATATATAACTTTCCGTGTAATTGTAACATTGTCTGCAAGACTCTGTGGTGACTGAGACATGGTGTTTCCGAGTGTTCTCTTCTCAATATAAAGCTATGGAAGAGTCTGCAGATTCATCCTACCTCTGTTCTGTGGGCAGTCTCACCCATGATTAAAGTTAAGTTTGTTGATGAATTGCTCAGAATTAGTTCCATTTCTGTGATAACAACAAAAGGAGTGTGTGTGTGTGTGTGTGTGTGTGTGTGTGTGTGTGTAATCAGAAAAGAGGACAACTATTGAGTCTGCTATTGGAAAATACTTACAGATGTCATGTTTAAAGATAATCACTTTAATTAGACCCTATTTATTAAATGTGTTAAGATTCATGTTTTGTTCTTCATGCAATATTAGTTTGGGGACCGTTGAATTTCCTGAAGTTCTGAACTGTTTTATTTATGGTTTTTATTTTTATTGTTGGCTGTAAAATATTTGTGTGGAAAATGTATGTATTAGGAATGAATACTTCTCTGAACCACTGTTCATTATAACTTAATGAAGACAGCAACTGTAAGCTAACAAGGAGGAAAAAATTCGAGAAGTGAAATTTTCAACTTGCAGACCTCAGTTCATTGGTGGTTTGTGAAACCATTACAATGTGTCATATTGTTGATTTTGGAAAAAAGTAGAATGAAATACAATAGAGTAAGAAGCACCAGAGAGCATTTTATTAATAGCAAGAGTATTTTTTCAAATTTAAGTGATATATGTGCTTACAGATCTACTAGACATAGAATCAGTATATGAATTGGATCATGATTTAAACTATAATCTTTCTGTGGATTGGGGTTAAAAAATGTTTGAAATCTGTTGTTTTTGTCAGCTAACTCTGTTCCTTGGTGAGTGGTCCAATTACTGTTTCCATATCTATAAAAAAATTGTACTCACTGGTACCCATACACTTTAACTTTTTTCTGGAAGTGATAGTTGCTTAGGACCTGAGTGAATAACCACTAGAGGACTAATACATTATTTTAGGGTTATCATTATATCAGACTTTCTCATGTTTTATTTTGTGTTATTTGTTTGTTTTTTGGGTTTGTGTATATTTCCAATCTTTTTATTTTAGAAAATATTGATGCTGATGGACAGGGATTTTGTCAAGGAGGATTCAGCATTGATTTTACTAAAGTAAGTTTTCATTTACGATTGGATGAGATTCAGATCTACCTTGTTGACTAAACCTTCGCTGAAAGTACACTGATCAGTGCCTCGGCTTCTTTGTAACTATTACTTTTTATCCAAATGGCTAACCCTTCATTTTGCCTTTCCTTGCCTTATATTATTCCCTTGCTAGTAGTGTGTTTGAAATAGGCAGATACCATAATGGGAATGGAGGAAGGCAGATAAATTCCTCAGTATATGAGAGGTGACTGTTATGACTTAATATTATAACTTCCAGTTATGTGGGTTTATTAAATATTGGTGTTTTTGCTTTCGGCTGCAGTTACATAAAAGTTATCAATGGGAACTTTATTATAAAATTATTTATTATTTTGGTATGTGAAAGCTGAAAGGCATGCAAGTTTGCTTCTCTTATGGACCTACAGGCAACATATAAGCCATGTCTTTTTACTAAACTAATATGCTATTCAGATATGATGTTTTTGACAATTTTCATTTATATTTTTTAAAATGTTTTTTCATTAGTACTTTATATACTTTTCTTTTGTGTTTTGTTTATCTATTTTTGTTGGGGTATGTAAACACCTTGAATAGCAAATTGAAAATATTTCTGTCCTAGAGATGTATCACAAAATATTTTGAAAATCAAACTTGCTGAGAAAGCTTAGCATGATTTTTCAGGAAATGTAAGCAAAGAGCGTAGCTGGAATTTATGAAGACAACAGAAAATAAAATCAAGCAGTAGAGAAGAATACATTTTCCTATTTTTAGAACTTTGCTTTTATTTCTATTCTGATTTTTTTAAAGATTTATTTTATTTTTATTGGAAAGTCGGATATACAAAGAGAGGGAGAAACAGAGAGGAAGATCTTCGGTCCAATAATTTGCTTCCCCAGCCACAACAGCCAGAGCTGCGCCAATCCAAAGCCAGGAGCCCAGGGACTCTTCAGGGCCTCCCACAGGAGTGCAGGATCCCAAGACTTTGGGCCATCCTCCACTGCTTTCCTAGGCCACAAGCAGGGAGCTGGATGGGAAGAGGGGCGGCCGGGATTAGAACTAGTGGCCAAATGGGATTCTGGTGCATGCAAGGCGAGGACTTTAGCCGCTAGGTCACTGCTATGGACACTGTTCCGATTTTTATTAATTTTTTTCACATTAGATACTGGTAATAATAGTTAATTATTATAAGTGTGATTGATTTTAAGCACTCAATTTCATATTAGAGTTTTCTTAATTGAAAATATAAAGAAACCAAGCAAAAGTATAATAAGCATTAGGTTTTAATAAAATATGTGTTAAAGTGTTAACATTTTTTTCAAAGTGTCCTTATTCTCTGTACCCGAGTGCCTATAACCTCTGAAGCACTCTCGGTGTAAAAATCATCGCTAACTTATTCCTTTTCTTAAACTAGTTTCTGAGAAAAGGATGTGACTTTTAAGTTGAATGACTTCTAAGTATCTTATACATACAGAGGGCAGGGAATTGTTTAAAACTTGAATGAGCTGTATGTACATTTGCAAGTAACACATTTTTCTCTTACCTTTAATAAGAATTCCCAAAATACTGTCCACAAATAAAATATTTCTATTGGAGGATTATAATTTTTTTTCAGACATAGGAAATGCTAGTCAAGCACCATTTTGTGAATTTATACAAATCCTTGAAAAATTTAGCCTCTGATTTTACTTTTGTTTAAATAAATGAGATACTAAAGACAGGTTTCCCTTAGCAGAAGAGTCTTCAGTGATTGTTAGTAAATTTCCCATAGGCAATCCCAAATCTAAATTAAGAAGTGGTCTTTCCTTGCTCTGCATCATCCTTCATCCTAGAGGGGCAAGGAAACCAAGATCCACAGAAACCATTTTTATATTCTTACATGTTAAATGAAAGCATTACAACTTCCTTTTTAATTTTGTTTTAGAAAAGCCAGAAGAAAACCCCTGAAGTTGAGTTAGATGAGTTTGAAATTTATGATTTAGTTTAATATGTGTATACATTATGTGTATATATTTGTTACTGCATTGATTCTCCTTGAAGGTACCAATTTTTAAGTATGTATCATTCCATTTGATTCAATCTAGGCTGATAGAGTACTTCTTGGTGGTCCTGGTAGCTTTTATTGGCAAGGTAGGTTAATATGTTTTATGTTACTCAATAGTAACTCTGTCTCTGATTCACCTGGCTTGTCATGCATCTAGGATATTTTCAAATAATTTAAAGAAATAAATGGGAAATATAATCTAAATGTAAGCATTCAGCTAAACATCTATTAAAAATTATATATTTTGTATATATTATATAGCAGAATAGTATACAATATATAATACAAATATTCCTAGTAGAAAAATTATAATTTATGCAGATTATAAAGTACATAAAGTGATTTAAAATAGTTAAATTTTTTATTGTTTGATGTGTACTTCTGCTTGACTATACTTTAGAGGTCATAATATAATCTTTATAAAGTGTGGGCAACCAATTTTTACAGGCAAATTGTGCCATTCTGAAGTCTGAGTGTTTTTTAAGGTTTATTTTATTTGAGAGGCAGATTTAGAGAGAGAGAGAAAGAAAGATGGAGAGTTCTTCTTTCTTCTGGTTTACTCCCTAAATGGCTGGTCCTGGGAAGTTTGGAGGTCAGGTGTCTGAAACTTCTTCCGGGTCTCCCACATGGGTCCAGGGGCCCATCCTCCGCTTCTTTTCCGGGCCATTACCAGACAGCTGGATTGGAAGTGTACCACCCAGCACTTGAGGCAGCAACAATGGGGGGTACTAATGCTACAGAGAGAGGTTTTACCTACTGTGCCAGGGTGCTGGCCCCAAATCTTAGAGTTTCAAAAATATTTTGAAATTGCCTATTAGAATCTTTAAATAGTAATCCACTGACATCTAGAATGAGTGAGCTGAAGTTGTTGGCATCCGGCTTGGCCTGGCTACACCCTGTCAGTGCTCATGTCTGGAGTGGCCCAGCAGTTGGAGGATCTCTGTCTCTGTCTTTCTCTGTCACTTTGCCTTTCAAATAAATCTTTAAATATCAAGCTTCATGTCTCATGTTCAGCATTACTGAGGACAGTTAAGATTCATAACTAGGAATATTAATATCTAATAGTGTTTTTTTTTGATTCAGGCACCATTATCTGTTTCATAAAGATGGTCTTATGAGAAGGTTATTTACTTTACATGTATGTATATGTATTTTTAGGGCAGCTCATTTCGGATCAAGTGGCAGAAATTGTATCTAAATATGACCCCAATGTTTACAGCATCAAGTATAATAACCAATTAGCAACTCGAACTGCACAAGCCATTTTTGATGACAGCTATTTGGGTAGGTAATATGGACTCATTTTATGAAATTATGTTGTCCTGTGTTTGTATATACTATTTTAAGTAGAAAAATATTCAGTGGGAAACAGATTAATGTTTTTCTAAACATAAAGCATGTACATTTTGATACTATTGACCACGTTGCTTACGTTTCATTTTGCTAATGAAAATTTAAGAAAGTATATAGTGATAATAGAACTAAGCTTTAATTTGTATTTACAGTGTTCTAGGTATTCTTCTAAGTGCTTTATTTAGTTACTTATTTCTCATAAGTTTGTAAAATTGTACTGTCATTTGCTCATGTTATAGGTGAGAACATTGACTTATGCAAAGGCGAAAGTCATACCTGAATTCAGACACAGGCAGCCTGATTCCTGAACTTTGTTATTCAGTTTGCTGAGCTATAGTTTAAGTTTTTGGAGTTTATTAACATTGGTCTCACTAAACTTCTCTTATTTATGTTAAAATAAATATCAGATATGATATTTGCTGGTTCAGAGTCAGTTATTTGCTACACCCTATTGATACTTTGCAGATTTGTTGTTTTTTTTTATCATCTGACTTGTAAATTTAATAAAGCTGATTTTCTAGCAGATTTCCTATTTGAGTATTTAGCTCGGTTATTATTTTTTTTAATTCAGTTGTCACAATCACAAGAACCTCTTGTTCATAGAGGATGAAGTATTGCCTGAAGAACAGAATTACTTGAAAATATTTCTGAGGACGGTTTCATCGCAAAGCAAGCTGAAGATGATACGTTTCTGTGCTAATGGTTTCTCCTCTTTGATTCCCCCTTTAGGTTATTCTGTAGCTGTTGGAGATTTCAACGGTGATGGCATAGACGGTATGAAGCTCTTGAACTATGTTTATTCCTTTCTGAAAGATACAAGCATTAGAAATCTATGACACTGAAAGTTTTCAGCAGTTTGAAACAATCGCATGGAATATGAGAGAAAAGTTTAGTACGTTGAGGAGGCACCATGCTGGGTGTGTGGGACTCAGGCTCTGTTTTGTGCTCCTTTCCTGTCCCCAGTCCTGGCTGTGTGCTTCGTCTTGCTTTCAGCAAATCCATTCCTCATTGCTTTCTTTAGCTAGGATCTGTAACGGGGCTTGTTCTGAAAGGTGGTATTGCACCTTCTCTTTGTCCATCTGTCTAGGAAGTGTGGACCTGATTTTGTTCATATTGCCAAGCCATTTCAGTTGACTGGATTGTTTTTATGAGCATAAATAACAGTGTTATTTCTCTTCTTAGGTCACTTTGTCTTTTCTTATCTAACCAGGTTACAGATAATTTAAGGGTTTATTTCTGTGCCTGTGAAAGTCTTTAAGAATATGTTTTTATAAGTTTGACTTTTAAAATCCCAGGGTTGTTTATAATTAGGTGGTCAATTTTTAAGAGTATCTGCTTTATTTTCTACTGAAATCATGAAGATATATGATATAATTACTTCCTTGTGCAGTTTCCAATGTTGGTCTTAAAAAAGATTAATTAAGGTTTGTTTGTTTTCAGATTTTGTTTCAGGAGTTCCAAGAGCAGCAAGGACCTTGGGAATGGTAGGAAAATTCAAAGGTGCTTTTAAAAGTTTCAGAGTTGGGGAGGGCATTTGTCCCAGTCGTTAAGGCACTAGGCGGGATACCCATTGCAGTGTCTGGCTTTGAGCCGTGGCTCCACTTCTGATTCAACCTTTCTTCTAAGTTAGATCCTGGAGCCCAGCTGTTAATACTTCCCACGTTGGATTCCAGCCATTCATGTCAGAGGCCAGGATTGAATTCCCAGCTCTTGATTCGGTTCAGGCTCAGCCTTGCCCCTAGTGGGCATTCTGGGAGTAAACGGGTGGATGACTGATTCATTACATAAAGGAAAAAAGAAGCAAAAAAATCACTCTGATATATATTTTTTGTTTCACTGTATTGCTTGAATTTTTTTTTTCTGCATAGGTTTATATTTACGATGGGAAAAACATGTCCTCCTTATACAATTTTACTGGTGAGCAGGTATGCCTTTACGATGTCATCTCCACCCCACCCTTCCCTTGCACACATCCAGTTGCAAAGGCAATATATATTCATTTGAGAAAGTTTAGGAAATACAGAGAAATATAAAAAAGTCAGTTGTAATGCAATTACAATATAATCTAAGCTATTATCATTTTGTTGTATTTCTCTTTTGTGTATTTAAAAAAAAGCTGATTAGCTCTGTGTTTTAAAGGTCATGTCTTGATTTGTTTGATTCAACAGTTCATTATTAGCATTTCCTAGTATCTTAAAACTTTCTAGGAGCACTGAAACGGTTTGATAATCCCATAGTATATGGTATAGGTAACTGGCTTTAAATGTTTCATCTTTGTTTTAACTAAGGTAATTTGTGTAAGCAGGGCCTTTTATAATTGCATATGATGGCTTGTTTTTGTATGTTGTTTGAGAAAATACAAAATTAAATTATACAGACACAAAACCATAGAAACTTTTTTGTTTGGAGATGATGGTAAGTTTTCTTTGGAGGGATGATCCATATCTTTTAATTTAATTAGAAACAGTAGTATAGATATGCATATTATGTGTGAGGGGGAGGAGTGGTCTTTCAAAAAGTTCATGAAAAATGCATGCTATCTTTTAATTTCATTTTCTACAATTTTAAAAGTACATGTAAATGATAATATGCAATAATCTATGCAAAAGTATATGCTTAAAATAGGCATTGGCATTACATGGGATAAGACATTCTGGAGTTAGAGTAGTACTTTTAAGTAGTGGTATCCTATTCAAACTGGTACTTTATAATCTAATATATTAAAAATTTTGTGGAAAAATAGAATTAAAGGATAATTAATTTTGGTGCAGGATAATTTTGAAATACATGCATAGCTTTATGACAATATACATTTTTTCATGAATTTTTAAAGTCTCCATGTATGTCTCAGAGAATTAAATAATGGCAGTGAAAAAGGAAAATAAGATAGAAGCCTCTTGGTTCACAGGTTTGGGATTCAGGAACATTCTTGTCAGTAGATATTGTTGGGCTATGAGCAGCTCTGTAGGACGAGGAACAGTCCTGTAGGCTCCAGAAACTTCTTCCCGTTTATATGACAGGGTTGCTGATGGCATGAAGTGACCTGTGTTTGACAGGCAGTTGGGATGGCTGCAGCGTCGTTGCCCTTCAGTGCTGCTTCACTTCTAGCCAGTGTCAATGTTTATGTCTGGATCATGCTGCAGACTGACGGCAGTGCGTGCCTTTGTAAGGTGTTTCAAAAACATTGGCCAGAAAGGCCCATTATGAAGAAACTATACATGAGTTTCAGTTATTTTATTATTGTAACTCATTGGTTTCTGTGAACCCCTTAAAGTTTCCTTGTACTCATCTTCAGCTGTCTTTGGGGAAAGGCAAGGGTTTGATGAGGACAGGCCTGGGCTCTCTGAGCTGTTACTGTACTGATTCTGATTCCTCGGTGGTAAAGCTGGGGGTGCTGCTGATGTACTCCTGGGTAGCTGTGAGGCTCACAGGGCAGGCGTGGTCTCAGTAAATGCCACACTTTCTTTATACTGAAGACAAACACCCTGAGAGGATAAGATCCAAGAATATTGTTTTGGCATGTTGTAGTCAACGTGGTACCCTAAGTGCAGTATAGTTTATTGCACAAGTTCCAGTCTTGCCATTGACTGTGGAATACATGTTTGTTTCAATTTCTTAATTTATTTTGTGTATCAGCACAAAATAAATAGAATAGGAAACTATCTTATTCCTTCCAGATATATATTCAACTTGTCAATTTTCATAAGTATTGCTAACTTTCCTTCTTTGTTTTGTTGACTTACTCATCACCTTAGTTTATCTGTCATTCTTTCTGATTTTTTTTAAGGTATTACAAACATTATTCTATTTTCTATAAAGGACATGGTCACCTCGTTGGTCCTTTTGGTATCCAAAAGCGTCCCCAAAGTAATCCTCCATAGTTATCTGATTTTGTTTTGTTCCCACTCTGCCCCCACCACACCGCCCATCCCAGCTGTCTGTGTTAGTCAGTAGTCTCTTGTGGTGGAAGAGAAGAAATGACTTCTTTATGCATAATAACTTCATAATAAACCCAAACACATTTGTAGTGTGTATAATTAAAAAGCACAGCCATCTGGCAAATGATTGATTGAGATGTGAGACAAAAATGAACTCCTGCTTGTGTCTTTCCAAACAGTAATTTCTAGAGGATAATAGTTCTACCTAGGGAGGAACAATCATTATGTCTTTAACAATTATTAACTGTTATCCTCTCTAAACAGTCATCCACTTGCGACTTCTCTGGTCCAATTAAAATGTTTGTATGTGAAAGAAATGTTTGCGTGTGAATGTGTCATTCTGATGGTGTTCCTGTAGCTGCCTGTTGTCAGGGAGTGGGGAAAAAGGATCTTTTGTTTGGCCTAGAAAGGAGACTTGATTTTACTTGCAACATAGGGAAATGAATTTATACATTAGAGTGTTTTACCTGCAATATGTTCTACTCACAGATCTGAGCAAATTAGCAAGTTTCATTACCTGATTGTCATGCTGTTGGTAGAATAAACAAAGGGGAAGACGTTTGGATTGAAGTACTGTATGTAGGAACATAAGTAGTCTATTGGTTACATATGTTGTAGTTGTTAATTGCCTAAAGTAGTTGGGTGAAATAAAAACATTTTGTTTGCATCTTGTTATCCAGATGGCTGCATATTTTGGATTTTCTGTAGCTGCCACTGACATTAATGGAGATGAGTAAGTTTTAAAAAATCTTTTCCAGAAACAGTTTTGCTCTTGTGTTTGTGAATGCTTTACTAAAAGTAAACAGTTCTGCTTTTGTTTGTCTGTCCCCTTTCCACTGATCTTTCTATTTAAGGAATCAGTTTGAAGAAACCTTACCCAAATAGTGGAAAATTTGGTGGTCCTAATTTTTGTTTTCAGTAGCTTTTGTAGCATGAAAACTTCATGAACTGCACATAAGTTCTTCTTTTTCTTTTTTTTTTTAAATTACATTGCATTATGTGACACAGTTTTATAGGCACTGGGATTCCCCCTAACCTCTCCCCATACCTTTCGCCCCCCATGGTGAATTCTTCCACCTTGCTGCATTGCCACAATTCAAGCTCAGTTGAGATTCTTTCATTGCAAGCATATACCAAGCATAGAGTCAAGTATCTTATTGTCCAGATAAGTTCAACGGTTTCTTGGGGAGACCATCTCTGGTCTGAAGGCAGAGCTGGCAAAGTATCATCCCGATCAATCGAAAGCCCCAACATAACATCAGCAACAATTTATAACGTTATGGAATTAGTGGACATAGTATTGAGTAACCAATATGTCAAAAAAAAAATGCAAGTTCTTAACCACATCTTGTGACTACTTCATTGACATTTCAGTTTTAGTTTATATACAACCGGATTCTATACATCTTAAAATGGCTAGAGGTTACCATTCAGTTGCCTTGTGTCTATTTTCAGTGTAGCATTTAGCTTTTTATAGCATTGAAGTGTAATTTTGGTGAACCTGGCTTTTTTGGGGGGGTGGGGAAATCTAGACTAGCTTATAAATCTAACAAGACATAAGTCAACAGTTTAGATACAGAACAGTTTTAGGAGGGGTGTGCAGAGAAATCTTCAATGCCCCAGTGAGGAGTAACTAATCTTTGTGTTTCACGTAGTAAGATATAAGTGAGTCCACGCTGACTGCTTCCTGTTTGATTTTAGGCTTTCCTTGTTGTTCTCTGTCTATCTATTCTAGATTTTTGTTTGTTTGGTTGGTTATTTGTTTGTTTTGAGGGGTTTCTGGAACGATCCTGATGGTCATTGCCAGGTGCTCATAAGTTCTTAAAAAGAGTTGGAGGAAGGTTTGAATTTGAAATGTCTATTGTTACTGGTTTTGTGCTTCACTGTGTCCAAGACATGTCTAGAAGGAGAAATTAAGTTTTAATAAAAAAGAAATGTCTAGAAATAGATGGATTTGATCTTGGCTTTGGTGAGGAGAGTCTGTTCTTTTAGTTATGCAGATGTGTTTATTGGAGCTCCACTCTTCATGGACCGAGGCTCTGATGGCAAACTCCAGGAGGTGGGACAGGTCTCCGTGTGTCTGCAGAAAGCCTCTGCTGACTTCCAGGTGACCAAGCTGAACGGATTGGAGGTTTTTGCACGCTTTGGCAGCGCCATCGCTCCTTTGGGAGATTTGGATCAGGATGGGTTCAATGGTAAGATGGAAGTTCAGCAATTGTGCGTTTCTTAGAAGTCAGAAAGTCCATGCCCCATCTGGAAATGTACATGAGTGAATCTGCTCTCTGGAAAAGAGAATGCCAGTGAGCCATATACCAAATTTAAAGATAGGTTGATTTCTCTTAAAATTAAGCAACATGTTCAAAAATGAGAGCAGCCTCAGGTGAGAGTTTCATAGCAGTTGATTTCTGAAAGGAATCCCTTTTATATTTTGAGTCTTAAGCTAGTGATGATCTGTCTTTGTGTCCTGCTGAACAGCAGTGCCCTCTAGTGTCCATTTAGCTACAAGTGTAAAAAATATTGTGGACACATTGTTAAGGCAATGCTGTGTAATACATAATGTTAGCATACCTCAAAGGTATGTTGTGCCATTAGTGTTTTGAAAATCATAGCTTTGTTATTTCTGTCCAAAGTGTTCTAAACAAGTTTCTGTTTCCCTTCATGGGGATGTATAAGTGTATAATTCCATTGTTTGATAAGACTTATTTCAATAACTTTAGATATCTTTAAAAAGCAAATTAGCTTTCAGTACAGAACTCATTTAGAAATGTGAAATACACATTACAAAGTAACAATATATTTTTAAGGGATAATATTTTTAAAGATTTATTTTTATTTGAAATCAGAGTTACAGAGAGAAGGAGAAAACACTCTTCAGTCTGCTGGTTCACTCCCTAAATGGCTGCGAAAGTCGAGTTGAACTGATCCAAAGTCAGGGCCAAAGGACCAGAGCCATCTTCCGCTGCTTTCCCAGGCTGTAAGCAGGAAACTGGATCAGAAGTGGAGCAGCTGGAACTCAAACCATTGCCATACGGGATAGTGGTGCCACAGGCAGGAACCAAGTTCACTATATACCATGGCTCTGGCCCATAAAGGATAACATTAAAACCTTTCTGCAGATCACATAATCGAGGAATGCCCTGTTGGTTTGTCTGTGTACTTAACAATGTATCAAGATTTGCCCCATTATTAAATAAAATCTGTATGAGAGAACTTCAAAAATGCAGAGCTCTATAATAAGTAAACAAGTAATGGGGAAAATCCAGATTATGATAAAGACTAATTTTTTTAGGCAAGGTGATAGAACAGAGAGCTTCTGTTAAAGTAGAGATGGGGAGGGGCCGAGTGTGGCCGAGGGAGACTTCTTTGACAGGATGATGTCAGATCTAGAGTTTAGGCCAACAGAAGGAACAAGGCTTGGAAAAGCTCTGAAGCAACAACTGCTAAGGGAACAGCAAGGTTAATAAGCCCAGATATGAGAACTAGTGCAGTGTTTGGGAAACAACAACAAAAGGCCAGTGTTGTTGGAAAACATGAATAATATGAAGGCAGTGAGTCATAGGGGCAAGACTTGAAGTGAGAAGGTCACTTGACAGGTTCAGACACAGTGTGGGAGCAGCAGAGAAAATTGGACCATTTTAGAGTTAGAAAAGTTTATCTTGAATGTTGCTGTCTTGACTATTAATTTATAATTTTATTTGTTTAAAATCAACAAGATCAAATGAAGTTCTAACTCAAAGTGATCCAACTTGATTTTCTTTCAGCAAAAGATATAAAATGATGCATAAATAAAGTAGAATTTTGATAGCTAGAATGAGCTTTAAATGAATTTTTAAAAAGGTTTAGCTATATATTTCAGAGACCGAGTTAGAAAAAGAGGGGCAGCAGTAGAGAGATCTTCCATTTGCTGGTTTACTCTTCAAGCGGCTGCCATGCAGGGCTATTCTGTGCTACAACCAGGTGCCTCGCGTTTCATCAGGGTCTCATATGAGTGCAGCAGCCCAGGGATTTGGGCCATCTTCTGCTACTTTCCCAGGTGCCTTAACAGGGAGCTGGATAAGAAGTGGGTCAGTTGGGACTCAGAAGCGCATGTGGGATACCAGCACTATAGGCAGTGAATTAAAGCACTGTATTATAGTATCGGTCCCTTGATGAATCTCTTGACATGTTCTTACCTTCCATACTGCCCGTTTTAAGTATGGCGCATTTAGATTTGCATAGGGTCAGACCCAGAATACATGGCTCTAAATTAATTTATTTCTGCAGCTTTGTTTGCATCTCCTTGAATTAGCTTGTTGCTTTTGAATAAAGAGTATTTTACTGAACTTTGAGACAATATAGATGAAGATAAATTGGTTCTAGAAGCATCCAGATCTCTGTGTAAATGATTGTGACTACTAACATGTTTGTGTCACCATCTTTATCCTATATCCCTTCCTTTCTCATCCTTTCCTCTGTGCCTCTTCCTTCTCTTCCTCTTCTTCCCTTTCCCCTATAGATGTTGCAATTGCTGCTCCTTATGGGGGTGAAGATCAGAAAGGAATTGTGTATATTTTCAATGGAAGGTCTACGGGCTTGAATGCGATACCATCTCAAATCCTTCAAGGCCAGTGGGCTGCTCGGAGCATGCCACCAAGCTTTGGCTATTCCATGAAAGGAGCCACAGATATAGACAAAAATGGCTATCCAGGTGATTTTCTGTGAATACATACAGCTCAGATTTCTCATTCCTCAGTCAAATAAGGTTATTCATTTATTTTAGAAGCCATTCCAATTCATTATTTCAAGTATTGAATTTCAAGTATTTACCTCTACCAGTTTCAAAACACTATTCAGACTGCTAAAAGGGCTACAAAGAAACGGCAGATACATTTCCTGGGAATGTACAATATGAAACAGATATTTTTAATTTCTTTAATTTTCTTTATGTCTGTAATGTTAGGAAAAAATGTGGTAGAGGGTGTTTCTTTTTACTTTTTTGCTGCTGTACAGTTTCTTGGTTGTGAGAATATATTTAAATTCTTTTGTGTGCATTAAAAGCTTTATAGCATGATGTAGAAATTCAGAAACTATTATTGTTAACATATGTTTGTTTCCACTCTTAAGACTTAATTGTAGGAGCTTTTGGAGTAGATCGAGCTGTGTTGTACAGGTGAGTACAGCATGTACAACAGGAATATTCTGAATTATTTGAAAGACTTTTTATATGAATTTCAGTATTTGAATTTTAGTTTATTGTTCTTGAAATATTGATGAATTTTTTTCCTATCTTACATTTACTATGGGTAAATAATATTTATGCAAGAAGATCTCAAAGAAGAAACGGCTATGCATGTTTTATTTTGAAAGGAATTCATAATTTTCCCTGTTTGTCCTTTAAACTGTATTCCAAAGTATTCTTCCATTTGTTAAAATAAACATTTCATTGTTTCAGAATAGTTTTATAATTAGAAACCAAAATTTGTGGAGTAGTACAATGAGTTTCCATATATCCTAGGATATGGCTCCTTTTATTAATGTCATGTTAGTATGCTGTATTTTCCACTTTTCATAGACCACATGTAGTTTCCCCCCCCCCCTTTTAAAAAATTGCTCTTAAAGATAGTATGAGTTTGCAATTTCCAGTAAGAGGAAATGAACTTGGTATTCTGTGATCACATGGGCAATATAAAATGAATCACAAAAGTAATAGTTTTATTAGAGCAATGTGTGTGCTTTCATATATTTCTGTTTCCAGGCTTCAGACGTTTTCATTTATTCTCTGTATTTGATCAATTCTTTATGCTGTGGATTATCAAATAGTGTCCCAAGTAAAGGTGCTTATACTGCTGTGGGCTGGATTCACACATGGCAGGAAACCTAGTATTGGTCCTGTAGAACTGAGTTTGTCTTTAATTACAGCAATGGGGCAGGATGTATATGCAGAAAATGCAGGGATTTATTGTGCTTGAGACAGGCTGAGTGATATGAATTTTTTTTTTTGTACAGAGTTAAAATCTGTGCATCTGAACTTTGAAAACCATTACTTACAGATTGAATGTTCGTTGACTGAAATGCTTGATACTAAAGCTGTTTTAGATTTTGGGGGTGGTTAGAACTTAGAAAATTTGCTCAGACTTTGTTGTTTGAGTATTACTAACCTGAGGATGGCAACTTGAAATGTTAGTGCTCTGTGTTTTGAGTTTCAAAATAGGGTAGGGATACTCACTTTCAGTTTACTGTTTTAGCTGTTTTTAAATTATCATTAATTACATTGCATTATGTGACACAGTTTGATAGACTCTGGGATTTCCCCAACCTCTCCCCGTACCCTCCCCCCATGGTGAATTCTTCCACCTTGTTGCAGATCAAATTCAGTTGAGATTCTTTCATTGCAAGCCTATAGCAAGCATAGAGTCCAGCATCTTATTGTCCAGATAAGTTCAACGATTTCTTGGGGAGACCATCTTTGATCTGAAGGTAGAGCTGGCAGAATATCATCCTGATCAATTAAAAGCCCCAACATAACATCAGCAACAATTTACAACATTATGGAATTAATTGACATGGTATTGAGTAACAAATATGTTTAAAAATGCAAGTTCTTAACCACATGCTGTGACTACTTCATTGTGACATTTCGAGTTTAGTTTATATACAACCAGCTTCTATACACCTTAAAATGGCTATAGGGTACTATTCAGCTGTCTAGTGTCTATCCTCATTTTAGTATTTAGCAGTATATAGTGGTGAAACATAATTCTACTGAACTTGGCAGATTTTAGGATAGTCTAAACTGACTAATAACTCTAGCAAGGCGTATGTCAACAGTTGAGGTGTAGAACTGTTTTAGGAGGGATGTGCAGAGAAATCTTCAATAACTTAGTGAGGAGTAACTAATCTCTGTGTCCTACCTAGTAAGGTATATGTGAATCCATGCTGACCGTTTCCTGTCTGGTTCTAAGCTTTCCTTGTTGTTCTCTGTCTATCTATTCCAATTTTGTTTGTTGGGGGGGGTGGTGGTTGCTTCGGAGCCATCCTGATAGTCATTGCAAGAGAGAGTGGGGATCCAAAGTTGGAACTATGTAAGGACCAGAGAAAGCTCCTCTCCCTAGCCCTGAAGGAAGTTTACTGTTCTATTTCTGCGGACTGCTCAGGGCTGCTGGTTGTTGTTCCGATGACCTTGGCTTCTGCAAGGAAAGATTTGGGCTTCTTCCATCCCATGTGGTAGATCCAAGCGGGAGTGGATGACCTCAGAGTTCTCAGCCTCCGAAAGCACTCCAATTCCCAGTGGTCTCCTTGGCCGTTGGGATGTAATCCTTGGTGCCCATACTGATAGTTCTTGGTGAGGATCCGGGACTCTCCAGGGTTGGGATACAAGCTTCCTCCTGTCCCCCTGCTCCACTCTTGGGCACCCCCTGCTCTGTGTATATGACCTCCTGTTAAGAGGTTTTCAGGATTGCTCTTGGTTCCCCTTATATGTCTTTGTAGTTTTACTGTTGTCTAATGCTGATTCGAGTCTGTTTTAGCTTTTAAATTGTGAAGTCAGTCAAGTATATGATAAATATTCAAACAATAGAAATAAATATAATTTAAAATATATATTCCCTCAAACCAGTTTCCAACCTTTTAGAATTACCAATAGAGTCTGTATTAACACATAGTATGCTTTCATGTATATGTAGGCATTTTTTGGGAATCTTTTTCCTTCTCCTACTAAAATCCTATCTTGGATATGTCTTTGGGATTGTTCTGTATCAGCACAGATGGACTTATGGTGCTCATTGTTCCCACTGTGTTCCATGGAATTAGGTCGGTAGCTCAGCCATTTTTTAAGGGATTGAGTACATATATGCTGGTAGTTTCCCATTTTACCTGACACTGAATGACTTGCAGTAGTGTGGGTCTTTCAGAGCTGGCTGAACTGAGATAGTTGGGGCCATCCTGATCTTTCTGCTGTTACAAACAATGCTTAGTCAATGCTTAGTACGTATTGTACTTGAGTATGTGGAAGATTTGAACCTAAAGCACTTACATCAGTGTGATTCTTGAAATAATTATCTTTTTTTTTCTTCAGGGCCAGACCGGTTATCACTGTAAATGCTGGCCTTGAAGTATACCCTAGCATTTTAAATCAAGACAATAAGACCTGCCCATTGCCTGGGACAGCTCTGAAAGTTTCCTGGTAAGAGTGCTTACTTTTCTGATTTATTATTGTGATGATTGATTCAATCACTGTAGGACAATTTGAAATGAAGTAGCAGGCTAAAATAATTGTTAAGCAGGTTATATAGCTATATACTATTTTTAGTTATAGAAATACTGCTACAAAGAAGATAGCTAGAAATCTCCAGAAAATTCTTGGAGATATCCGTGAAGATCAATAAACTAGCATAAAATGAAGTTTTAAACATTTATAAATGGTTGATGAATATACTCAAAAAGAAGGAAGAGCTGATAAGGACTAAGTAATTGTTCACTTTCAATTCTAACCAATCTTATGATTATTTAAAAACTTTAGAAGGTGTGTTGTTTTCCAGGTTTAGTGTCTGTAAATAGCTGAATGAAAAATTATTTTGCTCTAGTTTATTATCTTTCATAGATACTTTTACTAGATTCCATAGGAAAGCATATTTTTGTAAGTCCATGTTAGATTTCTTCCATATTGCATTTTCTGTCTGTCATGTAAATGTTACTTTGATTATTTTTATGATCATTTTAATGATTATGATTATTTTAATGATTATCTTTGATATAAGTCATGTTTTAATTCGGACTATTTAAAAATGGACAAACTAGTATCTTCCTCATAAATGAAAATGAATATAAAACTAACTACTGGGGACAGACATGGTGGTGCACAAGTTAAGCTCCTGATTGGCATACATCCTCCTTTGTTGGAGTGCCTGTGTTTGAGTCCTGGCTACTGGCCTTCTTCTCTAGCTTCCTGTTAATGTACCCTGTGTGGCACCAGAAGATGGCTTGAACACTTGGGCTTCTGCCACCCCCATGAGAGACCTAGACTGAGTTCCAAGCTCCTGGTTTCTGTCCGTGCCAGTCCTGGCTGTTGTGGTCATTTGGGGAGTGAGCAAAAACGGGAGATGTATCCCTCTCTCTCCTCCTGTCTCTTCCTCCCTCTCCCTCTTCTTCTTTCTCTTGCCTTTCTTTCTCTGTCACTCTACACTTTTCAAGCATACATATAAATGTCCCATAAACCATGAGAAGTACTTAAACATTTCTTACTTACACAGAGAAAAAAAATCACAGCAAAGGTGAAGTTGGTGAGAATGGCAGGGAGAAGTTATTCCATAGAAGCTAATAAATACTATTTTCATTTTGGTTTTGGGTAATTTATTAAAATTTTCAAACGAGTATTTTTCCCCAAGCCAAACTGTATCCAGTTTTCTTAAAAATTCTTTCCATAAAAGAATTTCAGGTAGCCCATGGGCAGACAGTTGTAGACAGTGCACAACACCCTTCAACCCCTTCTTTGATGAACTACCCGAAACAGAAAGCCACTACACAGTGTTTTTCAGAGCATCTTCCTTTGGTGCGCTGAAAAGGAAAGCTTAGACTGAGGACTGACATTTCAGATTCAGCACATGTTTAACAACTTTTCACAAACTGACCCTGAATTCTGGGAAATTAAATGAAAATGGCAAAATTACCAATTTGAAGATCCATAGTCTAGAAAAGGAACCATTGCCGTATTGAGAGATACCACCTAAAGGTGTCACTTGAGTCCAGATGGTCTGGCATGTTGGTAACAAAGTTTTTGGGGGTGGTCAGATCCTACCAGGTCTGTGGGTTTGAGAGTCAACCAGCAGATGGGTGATCTCTCTGTCCCTAACTCTTTGTAACTGACTTTGAAAGAAATGAAGGCATCTTTAAATAAATAAAATATTTTTCAAATGCTACTCAAATTAGTGTTTTTATTATATTATATAAAAAATTTAATAATAGTTACTCTTCTTTGATTGAATCACAACTTGTTTTTCATGATTTTGGCTTCTAATTTTATTGCTTTTCCTCACTCACCCTGCTGTCCCTACAAAATTGCTACTAATATGCTAACAATTATGCTCATGATTTGAAAGCTTCTAATGCACTAATTAGAGTAGTGGCTTTCATATGAGTTTGAGTATGTCACGTAATACCAAATATACTTGCCATCATGATTCAGAAAGCACTTACACATAATTAAAACCAAAATTTCCCCCAAATCTAGTTTTCCCTTGATACTTAAGTCAGTTTTATTTAATTTAAGATGCTAGGTTATAAGCCATTGGCATGATTTCATGAGTCGTGAATAAATTGTGAAAAACCCTGCAGCATACAGGAAACTTCCATGGGTCATCTTATTAAGTGAGACATTATTTTATTTCTGAACATTCTTTTTTCATTATGAAAACAAACTTCCCACAAACTAGAAGTTAGAAAATTGTTATTTTTTTCCCTCTCTTCCTTTTTCTTGTCACGCTAGCCTAACAGGGAATATGAGGGAGTTACTGATGGATGCATCATGTGTGTATGGTTTTGTACTTTTTAGAGGTATACCCAGACATGAAGGAATAAACAGGGCCTCATGATATAAACTGCCCATGCTGCCAGCCTTCTGTCCTTGGACTCTTCATCTGCACGTTCAGCCCATAGCGGATTAAAAGTATTTGGGAGAAAAGGTTGCTTATGTACTGAATATATACACACCTTTTTTTTTTCTGTCTCTTATTTCCTAAACAATAGTGCTTAATTATTTGCTTTCTATTAGGTATTCAAAATAGTCTAGACGTGATCTGAAATATAGGCTATGTGCAGATTATGTGCAAATACTATTGGAAGATCCATTGGTTTTGGTCTTCAGAGGGTGTCTTGGGAGTGATTCAAATAAACAGACCTGGTTTGCAGCATTAGGCATGTTCGTAATTCTGTCGTGTTTGAATTATATTGAAAAGTATGCTTATACTGTATTACAGAATTTATATAGGATTTTTTTTTCTTCCATAGTTTCAATGTCAGGTTCTGCTTAAAGGCAGATGGCAAAGGAGCGCTTCCTAGGAAACTTAGTAAGTATCTTAAGAACCGTTATGTTAAGGCTTGAAATACATTATTTTAGTACTTAGTAATATGTTTTGGGATGTTTTTACCCTAAAACAAATTATTTTTTTTATTTGAATGTTTATTGTATAAGACGTGTAAGATTGCAATGTTATTACTTTTATTGTTTGACAGTTCTTAAGCCAATTCAGAAAAAATACACTTAATTTATGGATATTGTGAACACGGTGGTTCAAGAATGGCAAACTAAGGCTTTTAGAAGGTTAAACAGTTACCAGTGTGAGGGGAAAATTCTGGGAGAAATTAGTTTCATTGTTTATACATAGATGATCTACTGATGAGTTTATATTTTATATTTTGGAGAAGCTCCCAGTGATCTCAAGAGTAGAAATAATTTAGAAGTATTGAGAGAAGGGAGAAAAAGTTTGGTCACTAAATTTCATTAAATTTAATTATTTAGTGAAATTTAATTAGTTATCAGGATTTCAAATTATATCTCAAGTGGTTTACACATCATGAATGGTTATGGCCATGATCTGATATTATGCTGGCTAGCAACGAATGCTGCAGGGTAATCTTGCAGCAGAGCAGAGGACTGGAATGTTGGCTTTGTGGTTGGACTTCAAAACCAGAGAAGAGCCCCAGGTTGAGCATGGTCTCACTGGCAGATAAACCTTTGGTGGAGACCTTGAGGAAGTTAGGGAGCTGCAGGGTTTGGGGAAGAGTACTTCACATGGAACCAACGGTGATTTCAGGAGGAATGGGGCAGGATTGTGCCTCCTGGATATGAGAATCTGAAAGGGAGGCAGGGTGACAAGATGGAACACAAAAAACACAAAATAACCTTGCACTTTTCCCCTGTGTTTCAAATGAACACAAATGAACAAGGATCTTTACAGAAACTAGGAAGGAAACAAGTAGAGTGGGACATTATCTTCTTTTAAGGAAACTAAAGAAACAGAATCCGAACAACTGTGCTTTGAACTATTGGCTTTGCATTCACTTTTAGATGATTCTTGATGGCCATGAAACGGCCATGTGGTTCTTGGCTGCATGAGGAACATTTGAATTTATCTGAAAGGTTGATAATATTGCTTCATGGGAAGCAGGAGTTACCAATGATGGCAGTTTCTTTCATCATAGTGCTTAATACAATGGTATGAGCATATTTTAGTGCATACTATACACCATGCTGGCCAAACTCTTACTGTTGGAATAATGATGGATTTCTTCCTGTGTCTCACTTCCTTCAGCTGGAATGAAAAGACAACATTTGCTTTCTGTCTGATAGCTGTTATACTATCATTATTTAGGATTATGTGTGATACTGCTTTAGGGAAAACTGAATTAATTATTATCATTAAACATTTATTTGCTATTACTCTGTACAGAAATATATAGGCATTTTTAATGACCTAGAAAACATTGCTTCTGAGGAATCAATATTCCTGTTTATGTGAAAACTAGGGCAGATGAGCCTCCCAATGAATATAGTGGTTTTACATCCTTTGATTTATATAGACTTCCAGGTGGAGCTTCTTTTGGATAAACTCAAGCAAAAGGGAGCAATTCGACGAGCGCTGTTTCTCCATAACAGGTCCCCAGGTCATTCCAAGAACATGACTATATTCAGAGGGGGACAGATGCAGTGTGAAGAACTGATAGCTTATCTCCGGGTAAGAGATATTTTTGTCAGCTATTATTTTTACTTTTTCATAGAAATACTTTTCACTTCCTATCAATTGGTATTAAACCTAGGAGGAAGAACAGAAAAAATCTTGAGAAATTTGGCTATTTCCAGTGTCAAACCTGGCAGTAGACATAATATATCATGATGCTACTAATTGACAGAACTAAAAGAAAGGCTGAACTATAAGAAACCTATCTTTTTAAAAAAATGATTTGAAGGCAGATTTTACAGAGAGGGAGATATAGAGAAGGTCTTTCATCTGCTGGTTTACTCCCCAAATGGCAGCAATGGCTAGAGCTGAACTGATCTGAATCTGGGAGCCAGGAGCTTCTTCCAGGTCTCACACATGGGTGCAGGGGCCTTGGGCCCCCTGAAGCCATCTTCTGCTGCTTTCCCAGGCCATAAGCAAGGAGCTGCATCAGAAGTAGAGCAACCAGGACATGAACTGGCAACCATATGGGATGCCGGCTCCGATAAATCTGTCTTGAAAATATTGGGGGACTCTGAAGAGAGTAGATGGAAGCTGAAGATTCCAAAAGTTAACAGTCAGCTAGAAAACTGAGATGCTTGAATTATCAGCTGAAAAATAGAAATGAAGCTTGATTGAATAAACTTTTATAGAACTCAGCACTTGTGAATAGGAAGATCTCCATTTGTCGTCCCCCCCCCGACTCTTTCATATAAAAATAATTTTTTTAAAAAAGAAAACAAGAAAGAACAAAATCTCCCAGGAAGTTACAAGTTGAAAAGGGACATATAAAAAATGGCAGACTTTACATTCAGGAGGGAGAGTACCTGTGAGAAGGAAGACAGAGGGCTGAAGAGAGAAGGAAGAGAAGAAAGGTAGCTTGAACAGTTTTTCGGTTCTAGTTATTCGGTTGGGTCTATGTTTGCTCATTTTGTGCACATGCCATGCGTATTTCTTTGTGAATCAAAATATCACATTGTCAAGTAAGAAGTGATTGGAAGTTTACCTGGATAATGAGCCTCTTGGGTAGTTCATCTTACATTACATAGGATAGTTTTGGGGAATTTTGGTTAGTGTTGAAAAATCCAGGTGTAGAGCTGACTTTGTGATGTCATTTGTTTTTAAGGATGATTTAGCTTGGTGTTCATTAATTTCAAGATGTTCTGTTTTTAGGATGAATCTGAATTTAGGGACAAACTCACTCCAATTACTATTTTTATGGAGTATCGCTTGGATTATAGAACAGCTGCTGATGCAACAGGTTTACAACCCATTCTTAACCAATTCACTCCTGCCAACGTTAGCCGACAGGTACTGTACTTTTACAGTTTACCCTTAATTTCATGCTGTGATCATTTTTTGACTTTATAATTCATGTTATAATATTGGTGAATGTTTACTCAAAGAAGTCAGGGGAATGGATCTGAATTTTTAAATCAGAGATAATTATTCAGGCATAAGAATCTAGTGAAATGTAGAAAGATGTATTATTTCATATACAGAAAACAATATAATATTTCATGGAAAATAGCAAGATACTAATTTATTGGCATAGCATTTTAGTCCTTTGGTAAACATCTTTGATATCTGTGTTATCATTTGTGTATATTTTAAAAGCAAATAGCATATATCTTTATGTGCATTGAAATATACAGGTAAAGACATATATGCATTACATTAATAATTACTTCCATAAGAGGGGATAAAACAATATAAAATTTTATGCTGTATAACAGTCTCAGAAAATCCTGGGAAAGCCCATTTATTTAAAATACTGTTGTATATCCTATGTTTTACTCTCTTCAAATTACATATTCATATTTCTAGATTATATTTCTGTTGTCATTAAACTGTTTATTAGTACCCTAGGTTCAGGTTGTCATTTCCTTTTAGTTCCTATTAGCTGGTTTTTTTTTTTTTTTTGCAGTTCTTTTTGCACTTACACTTAGCAGCATAAGTCTAATTATATTTCTTAAAGTTTTCTGTAATTTAAAAAATTCACTTTTATATTTCATTTTGTGTATTAATACTGCCATTTTTCTGGCGTTCATTAATAATAAATATTTCTGTGTTCTTTTTTATATTTTTAATTTTTGGTGGATGCACAGTATTATGTTGATTAATATTTTGATCATAAATATCTGTGATGGGTGCTTGGCATTGTGGTTAAGACACTGTTTGGAATACCACATCCTTTGTCAGAGTACGAGGGTCCTAGCCCCGCTTCCTGCTGCTGTACCTCCTGGAATTGGCAGGTGATACCCCTTTTTCTTGGGTCCTAGCTAGCCACGTGGCAGAGCAGTATTGAATTTCAGTCTCCGCCCCACTCTTTCAGTCTGTCTTTGTCTTTCTGCCTTTCAGGTGTCGGTTACAGCCAGTAGGGAGTGACCCAGGGATGGAATAATTTCTCTGCTTCTTTCTCTTTGCTTTTTGAAAGCAATGAAAGTAAATAGAATTTTGGAAATGTATGTGAGAATCCTTGAAGTTTGTGGAAAATGCACATTCTCTTTCAATGCAGTTTGCCCCCAGACTTTCTGAAATACTGTCAGAATGTTCATGTTTTGTGCAGGGTACTTAGCGTTGAGTTGCAGAGCTTTGGTTGTCTGGGTTTGGAAGGCCTTGTTCTGTGCTCTGCGGTTTCTGGACCTGTCTTTGATGATAACATGTTTACTGCTATTGCTGCTTGTATGCCAGCGAAGTCCGTTTTCTTTCCTGAAGAGCGGTAGTTAGCCAAATAGCACTTTATCAAAATTTTGTTGATATTATATATATATGAACCCCACTTCAGATAATTAATCTGTAACACCAGTTCAGGGTGTTATAACACCATAGCACTAATTTATTATCTGCAGGACTCGCACTTTGTTCCTGGACAAATTGAGTCGTTATGTATACTTGGCATGACTTAAAGAATCATCTTAAATTCTTTAGTCATGCATTTTTTTTTCTTGAAGCTTGAAGCATCTGCTGTGTCTAAGTAATTGAACTAATTCAGTTATTTTTCTCCCCTTGGGTAACAGCACATCCCTTGTAACTTAAAATTTTCTAAATGTTTTTTCTACGAAAGATTCCATGTATTTTCTTTCCTTTTAAATCCTGTTTTCTCAAGTTTTATCTGCCTCTGGGCCTGAAGCCTTTTTGATTGTAACAGTGGGCAAACTAAAAATGGCTTCATTTGGGGGGCCAGTACTGTAGCCTAGTAGCCAAAATCCTTGCCTTTAATGTGCCAGGATTCCATATGGGCACCTATTTGTGCCATGGCCGCCCTGTTTCCCATCCAGTTCCCTTCTTATGGCCTGGGAAGACAGTCAAGGACAGCCCAAAGCCTTGGGACCCTTCACCCACATGGGAGGCCCGGAAGAGGCTCCAGGTTCCTGGCCTCAGATCAGTGCGACTCTAGCCATTGGGGAGTGAATCATCGGATGGAAGATCTTCCTCTCTGTCTCCTCCTCTTTGTATATCTGACTTTCTAATAAAAATAAAATGAATCTATTTGAAAACTGGCTTCATTTTTATTTTCCTAATTTATATATTTCTTTTAAATCCTACTCAAGTTTTGCTTCCTCCTAATATTTCACTTCTTTGGATTTTTTTTAAAGAACTATTTGTTTTGAAAGGCAGATGTTGCAGGGAGAGAGCAGAGATGGGGGAGGTCTTCCTTCAGCTGTTTCCATCCCCAGATGACTGCAGTGATTGGAGCTGAGTGGATCTGAAGCCAGGAGATCCTTCCGGGTCTCCCATGTGGGTGCACAGTCCCAAGGACTTGAACTGTCTCTTCTGCTGCTTTCCCAGATCATAAGCAAGGAGCTGGATCAAAGTGGAACAGACAGGATATGAGCTGGTGCCCATATGGGATGCCAGTGTCAGAGGTGGTGGAGTGAAGCATTAGGCTGCTCTGCCACTGCACTGGCCCCTCTGTATTTTTTTGTACTCTGGTAGCTGGCATGTTCTCCTGCCTGTGTCTTGGGGTGCTGGTGATAGTTTTTGTTTTTTGTGTATCCCGATCATTTTAACATTTTGAGTTCCTTTCTTTTCTTTTCTTTACAAATGAAAGTGAACATACTGAACCCTATTTTAGCCAGTTTCTTATTTTGTCTGAATCGCTGCTGTGTGATATTGGCCAGAGCCATTTTAGTAACACTCTACTAGGGAGCTTATTTTGCTAAGATCACACAGCCTAGCTAGCAATGTAATAAGAGTAAACTCTATTTTCTTGAATATCTCAGTCAGGACATATTCCAAAACGCCACAGCTAATTTGAGATAAAACTACAGAGTCCCAAGAATTACATGATATGCTATATTCTTCCTCATTCTGAGCCTCCTACACCAATGTGTGTGAAAATAAGTGACCATGCTCTTGTTTACAGACATGAGGAGGAGTATTTATAAAAATCAGCCTGTGTACAGACAGGTATATGCATTCACATAGACTTTGTATTACTATTTTGCCATATAGAAAAAGATAATTTCATCTTTTCCAGGCACATATTCTGCTTGATTGTGGTGAAGACAATGTCTGCAAACCTAAGCTGGAAGTTTCTGTACAGAGGTAAGTTTTATTATAAAAATAAAGAGTGCAGTCAGAGGCTTTTTAGGTGAAAGAATGCATTTGCTATTGAAAGCACTAATATATTTTAATGATAAGTGCTGATAATGGAGGATAATCTGTGATCTTCTATAATAAAATTATCCATCTTAAACCCTAAAGTATCATCTATATTTTTACTCATTGCTCAGGTTGGCTGACTTAATACCGTCCAGAATGGAGTAGTACCACAAAGTAATGTGATGTTATTTTCAGGGTATGCGTCTTTATAGACCTGTTCTAAGGAGTATTTTTATTGTGTTATATTACATGAATGTGATAATCCTATAAAGTCATGACGAATGATTAATCTGCTGTTAGAAAAAATTGAGAATTAAGAAGCACATGCAGAGTTAGATGTGAACACTTGGTATGTAATAGTACCATCAGTATTTTCTTTCATTGAGTAGATAGCATGGAATTTGTACCTAATATGTTATGCTCTATTTGCTATTGAGCTGTGAATTAGTCTTTAAATATCTCAAGGCACTCTTGAACTTGTCAGTGCTATCTGTTTTTATCTTTGGTTTCTTTGAATAATTTTAATGCTCCCCGTGCTATGTTTTTTTCACTGTCTGGGTTTGTGTTTTACTTGTAGTGATCAAAAGAAGATCTATATTGGGGATGACAACCCTCTGACATTGATTATTCAGGCTCAGAATCAAGGGGAAGGTGCCTACGAGGCTGAGCTCATTGTTTCCATTCCGCCGCAGGCTGATTTCATCGGGGTTGTTCGAAACAGTGAAGTAAGCAAGCTCCTCTTTGAAATGCACTCACTGGCCTTACTAACATTAATGAACAAGCCGTTATGTAGTGAAGCACAAGCTTAGCCATTCTACCTATGCTCAACTGCTAGACAGTGGATTGTCTCCCTTATGTAATCCCTTTCAAGCCTAATACTTCTTAGAACGCGTTGCTACATTTTTAGAATTGCTAGCTTAGTATCTGAAAACAAGGTCAGGCAGATAAAGTGTCTGAGCCTGTCCATCAAATTCCTTGTCAGAGGCAATGTAGTCATACGTCTAAGTCCTCTGGGGATCTTTCAGATACATTTTTACATATTTATGTGACAGTTTTACCCAATTCTGCGTTTTTATTCCTATTTTTTCTCAAGTAGATGAATTTGCTTCATTAAAAAAGAAACTTAAAAAATCCAGCTTTGTGATGTTATGTAAGAACTTTATAATCATATGCTTTCTGTGTTTTATTTATTTACTTTTTTGGTCACAAATTTACTTCCTTTTCACATCCTGTTCCTTTGTCCATCAAAGGCCTTAGCAAGACTTTCCTGTGCATTTAAGACAGAGAACCAAACCCGCCAGGTGGTGTGTGATCTGGGAAATCCGATGAAGGCGGGAACCCAAGTAAGGCATTTTAATTAAATGCATTTTCTCTCCACAAGTAGAACCACATTCTTCTTCCTAGTGATTTCTTGAATCAAAATTTCATAAGAGTGTCTAAATGTGTTTTGATTTATAATTCAGTAATTAGAGTTTTTTTTCATTAAAATATTGAAATAGCAGTTTTTGCTATTATGCTGTGCTAGCAGAGCTACGCTTAACAATAGTTTGGTAAATCAGCAATAGCATGGATTAAACCAGGGTTGAGGATTCAAGGTTCGTTTGCATATTTATAATGTCATTCGCAGCCCAACAAAATTATCTTACAAGTTGGCCTGTATTCAGCTTATGAGCCAGGCATTCCCCACTTTGGATTTAGACTAAGGTTTCAAGTTATAACTTTGATATTTACTTTCAAAAATTTATTTGTTTGTTTGAATGAGCTATACAGAGTGAGGGAGAGACAGAGATCTTTTGACTGCTGGTTCACTTTCCAAATGGCTGCGACTGCTTAGGCTGGGCCAGGCAGAAGCCAGCAGCCAGGACATTCATTCACATCTCCCATGTGGGTGGCAGGGGAACAAATACTTGTACCATCTTCCATTGCTTTTGCCAGGTTGTTAGCAGGAAATTGGAATAGGAATGAAATAGGTAGGACACAAGTGAATGTCCATATGAGAGGTTGGCATTGTAGGTGATGTTTTTACTTGCTATGCTACAACACCAGCCTTGTAATTTTCATTTGTATTTTTAAATTTTTATTTACTTACTTGAAAGAATTATATGGAGTGAGAGCCAGAGAGATGTGCCACTCACTGTTTCACTCCCCAGATGGTTGCGCTGGTTGGGACTGGTCCAGGCTGATGCTAGAGCTGCACGGGTGCCAGGGGCCCAAGGATTTGGATCATTCTCTTCTGCTTTCCCAGGTGCATTAGCCGGGGAGCTAAATCAGAAGAAAAGCATCCAGGGCTTGAGCTGGTGCCCGTAAGAGGTGCTGGGGCTGCAGGTTTAATGCACCGCACCACTGGTCAGGCCCAGATTTATTGTTTTTAATACATATTTTAGTGGGTCCTCAAAACTACCCTAGTGAATACAAGGACTGTCATTCTTAGGTGAGATAGAGTTACCTAATGAATTTGAAGCCCTAGATTAAGAATTTTATACAAGGACCAAAACGAGGCTTGATTGCATCTGTTTTTCCCACACATGGAAGAATAGAAGCACAGGAGTTTGGAAGGAAGCACATCTTTTCCACATCCTCTCAAGAGTAGATGAAATATCCCTTTTCGAATTCCTAGAATTTGAAGCAAAGGGCAATGTGTATTGTGTTACTTGTACCATAGAATTTAAATTAATGGCACATTGCTGTTGGTGCTTCAGAGCTGTGTTAATGTAGATCTAATGTTCTATGTCACTTTTGGTGTGATTTTCATTAAAAGTCACTATATTTATGTTTATGATGGCTTAGGAAAGAGGAATTGAGCAAAATATCTTGAGTTCCATTTTCTCCCACGTTAGTCATGTTTGCAAGTCAGCTGGCTTTTGATCTCATCTACTCCAGCATTTTGGTTATTGTTGATAGCACCTTCAGTTTAGCTGGTCCCATGTTATTCTGAATGGTCAGCTCTTGGCTTGCTGAAGTGGGAGGTGGTCCTCAAGAAATACCGTTTTTAAAAAGTCACTTATTGGGCCCGGCGCGGTGGCGCAAGTGGTTAAAGGTCCTCGCCTTGCACGCCCGGGATCCCATATGGCCGCCGGTTCTGATCCCGGCAGCCCCGCTTCCCTTCCAGCTCCCTGCCTGTGGCCTGGGAAAGCAGTCGAGGACGGCCCAAGGCTTTGGGAACCTGCACCCGCGTGGGAGACCCAGAAGAGGCTCCTGGCTTCAGATCGGCATAGTATGGGCCCGTTGCGCTCACTTGGGGAGTGAATCATCGGATGGAAGATCTTCCTCTCTGTCTCTCCTCTCTGTATATCCGCCTTTCCAATGAAAAAATAATAAAAAAATAAATCTTTAAAAAGTCACTTATTTTCATGTCTATTTGAAAGGCAGATTGAGAGAAAGCATCAGAGTGAGATTTTCTGGCTGCTGGTTTACTGCCCAAATGGTCACAAAAACTGTGCCCTGCCCAGACCAACACTGAGTCTAGCTATTTAAGCAGTTGTCTGCTGCTTCCCAGGGTGCTCACGGGCAGGAAGGTGGAGTCGGAGCACAGTTAGGATTTTACCTGAGAACTTCAGTGTGGGCTGTGGACATCTCATGCAGTGTCCTGATCTCTGTACCAAAAGCCGAGTATCTGCCCCAGGAATACAATTTGAATGTGTCTTGTATAAGACTCTGCTGGAAGCATTCTTTCCAATACCTTATCATTCAGTTATTTTCTTTAAAGATCTCAATTTTCCATTTGTAGGCTTCAGAATGTTTGGTGCTTGAGGGTTATAAGAGAAGAAATTCTGGTTGTGGCCATACTCATAGCTTCCTCATTTTAAAGAAATTATTTATTTGTTTGTTTATTTGCTTGCTTATATGAAAGGCAAAATGACAAAGAAAAAGAGGAACAATTGGAAAAAAGAATTTCCAGGGACTGGTTAACATTCCATATTGCCTCATATCCAGGACTGTGTCAGGCCACAACCAGGAGCCTGGAGCTCCGTCTAAGTCTGCGATTGGCAGGAACCTAAACACTTGCATCAATCTCCACTACTTTTCCAGGTGCAGTAACAGGGAAGTGGGTCCGAAGTAGAGCCTCCTGGATTTATACTAGCATTGTTGTAACAGGCAGAGGCTTAAGCTGATCTCCATGCAGGCATGACTCATGCCTTCTTCAGCCAGATGTTTTTTTTTTTTCTTTTTCTGTAAATATTTATTTATTTTAGTTGTAGGGGTTACAGAGGAAAATCTTACATATTTTGTTCATTCTCCAAATGGCCACAAAGCCAGAGCTGGACCGGTCCGAGGCCAGGAGCAGCTTCTGGGTCTCCCACATGAAAGACTTGGGGTATTCTCTGCTGCTTTCTCAGGGAGTTAGGCTGGAAGTAGAGTACCTGGGACACAAGCTGGTGCCCGTATTTGATGCCAGCACAACAGGTGAAAGATAAACCCATGGAGCCACCATGCCGGCCCCTTTTGCCAGATTCTTATAATCCATTCCTTTCCTCTTTTTTGGCTTGTTAACAGAGTTATTCACTTCCTCTTACCAATTGTCCAGGATTTTGGATCACATTTACTTTCAGGAGGATCTTTAATGTTTTAATTGTTAACTGTGATTAGCAAAAAGAAGGGAAGAGAGGGCAAGGGTAATGGAGAGGGGGAAAGGGGAGGTGTAGGGAAGGGGTAGGAGGTTGTCATTAGGAAGAGATCTCAGTCTCGCTCTCACTCTGCTTTTGTGTTTTGCTGCCTTTTAAATATGTTTACATGTATACATTTATAAATTTATGGATTGGCCTAGGTGTCTTAAAGAGAAGAGACTCAGTGGGAAATGAATTATCTAAGCTCAGTAAGACCTATTTCACTAGGCAAGCTTTGTGCTATAGTGGGTTAAACTGCTGCCTATGATGCTGGCATCCAGTATGTTTGCTGGTTTCTCTTCCAGTTGCTCTACTTGTCATACAGTTTCCTGCTAATGTACCTTGGAAAGCAATGGAAGTTGGTTGAAGTGTTTGGGCTCCTATTACCTATGTGGTAGAGACCCAAGTTGACGCTTCAGGGCGTGGGCCAGCCGTGCTTGTTGTGGCTGTTTGGGCGGTGAACCAGTGAGTGGAAGATTGACTCTTTCTGCCCTTCAAATAAATAACGATAAGTCTTTAAATAATAAGAAAAAACAAAAAACCTGTATTAGATAATTTTTCACTATTGGATTTGGAATTTTCCTAATGAGACACTAGCTAACATTATTATCTTTTCTTCTCCCACTCAGCTCCAAGCAGGCCTTCGTTTCAGCGTGCACCAGCAATCAGAAATGGATACTTCTGTGAAATTTGATTTACAAATTCAAAGGTATGAGAAGAGCTTTATTAAGTTATAACTATGGAAGAAAGTGTTTGTTACAAGTATGTAAAATGCTTAATACGTAAGTTAAAAATTTTAGCACTTGATTATGGCATTTAAAAAATCTACATTTGTGTAATAATGATTCTGCCAGTTTTGGGTTTGTAAGACATAATTTAAAAATAAGAAATTAAACATCTTGGAATTAAGTGTTAATATTTTATCCTATATTTGTGGGTTTTTGCTGTTAATTTGTTCATTTTTACTATGACTGGATTTATTCCTGTATTATTTTGATGGTGATTATGCTCATTTCAGTCCTAAATATATTTTATTTCCTTTTCAGCTCCAATCTTTTTGACAGAGTAAGCCCGATTGTATCTTACAAAGTGGATCTTGCTGTTTTAGCTGCTGTTGAGATAAGAGGGTTAGTGAGATTATGAATTTAAATGTTTTATTCTCATGTTTACTTTTTCAAAGTAGCTACTAGGCTGTAGCCTCCTTTAGAGCAATAACTTGGGTAGTTGTAAGGTACTAACTGTGCTCCAAAGCTCCAAATGTTTAGTTGGCTTTACTCTGAGAAGGGATAAGACAGGGCACTAGGCACAAGATGAATTTATTGAATTCTTACAAGAATTTTCTTTTTTTTTTCCTCAGAGACATTTATTTATTTATTTATTTATTTAGTTAGTTAGTTAAAGGTGGAAAGAAAGGGGGAGACAAAGAGAGAGAGGTATCGTCCATCTCTTGACTCACTCCCCAAATAGTTCATTGACCAGGGCCAGGCTAGGACAAAACAAGAGGTCTGAAAAGCCACATCTGGTTCTCTTGTGGGAAGCATTGGCCCAAGCAATTGGTCTGTCTTCTGCTGCCTTTTCCGAACCTTCAGTGGGGCACTGAATGGGAAGTGAAGCACTCAAGACTAAAACCTACCCTGTTTGTAAGGGTTGCCACAATTTCAGGCAATGACGTTAACCTTCAGCAGCACAACAGATGTCCCTCCCCACATTTATTTTCTGTTCACCTGATTAAAGTAAAATTGGTTAAGAAAGTTTTTGTGCGTATCTGCATTTATTAATTGTTTCTTTTAAAAATATCTTTATTTTATTTTTTGAATATGGATGCTTTTGAAGATTGTGCCATTCAGATGCTCATGTTAGGTCTTCTTGGATCATTGTAGAGTCTCCAGTCCCGACCATATCTTTCTTCCAATTCCAAATTGGGAACACAAGGAAAATCCTGAGACGGAAGAAGATGTTGGACCAGTTGTTCAGCACATCTATGAGGTCTGTGGCTTTTAGAGTTAACCGAAGCGTGTTGAGAAAGAGAATGGCTGAGCTAATTTTAAAAAATAAATTCTGTGTAGATTTTACGTAAACTCTGTACCAATCACATGTGTATCAGAGGTTTCTTTGAAGATCTTTCCTATTTGTAAGTTCATTTTTATTAGACAAATTTAGCTTATAATTTGTGTTTTGTTTTTTCTTTTTTAAAAAAAGATAGGATTTAAAATTCGATAGTTCTTGAATAAAAGAAATAGAACGTTGTGTATTTTCTGATGTACATGTTGAGTTTCTGAGTATAAACTAAAACTGTTGCTAGCAGATATCAGTATTTTTTTTAAAAAATTGTTTCCATTTCAATATTGTTTACATAGTTGAGAAGGATGCGTGCCCATGTGGGCCTCTGATTAGGATCAGGGAGGTGCAGGTACTGAAGAAGGTAGCTAGGACAATTTTTTTCTCCCTGCTGTGTCCATAGTGAAATAAGGGGAGGGGGCTGCCCCTTGCTGTCAAGCTACATCAGCATGCAGGGGTGGAGGACAGTCATTTGATGACACCTTAGAGACTCCTGTGTGGGAAGAGTATTCCGAGGGTGTTACTTGAATGGTTTTGATAGTTCTGAGAAGTTGTTGGTTTTGTTGCTCCAGGCTTGAGAAAATCTTTCCAAAGGTCTTTTGGTTGACAAAGTCTATCTTGGTGCATCCATAGACCCAGGGACATGCCGTAGACCTTGGCCAGAAATGTTTAACCTGTGCTGCTTTCCATCCTCTGATGCTGACTGTCATGTCCCCTGTGTACATCTGGACATGCTGTCCACTGCACAGGCATTAGCAACTGAGGAGAGTCAGTCCCAATACATGCTCCAAGGTCAGACCACAAATCCTATGATTTTTCCCTGTGGCAGGGTTTGACCCAGTGGTCTAGTTCAGAAGTCCACAGAAAATCCTTGCCTGGGATAACCTTCTACTTGACTCTTGTGTGTGCCAGACAGTACAGGATCAGGCACAGTCTGTCACTTAACCAGCCAGCGCACATATTGGTGGATGTATCTGCATGGTCAGTTCTGCTTCAGCCTCATATCTCATACAAACCGAAGGGTGCTGCAGCCCAGGCCAGCCAGCCCATTGTAGACCCAGTTCTCGTGCATACTAGCAGGTACCATGGCCTAGTCTGTCAATAACCCTTCCCAGGCCTGCCACAGCCCAGTTTTGTATCATCAGCCCAGCCCAGACCAGCCTGTACCCTAGCTGGTTCTCATGCACACCTGTGGATACAGTGGTTTGGTTCAACCCACTCTATCCTTCAGACCCAGCCCTCATGTGTTCTGACAGGTGCCATTGCCTTGTCCAGCCTCGCCTGTTTCCGGCCCTCTTCTTGCGATCACCAGTGAAAAAGAACAGCCTAGCAGGGGAGTGCCCAAGTTCCCCTGCCAGGCATTTTCTGAGCTCCAGCTCTTGCAACAGCTAATCAATATTTCTTTAAGAAGAAAATTTTCCTTGTTGTTCATTTGTGACTTTTAAAGTATTTTTGTCTCTCTTATATATTTTCATTCTTACACATTCTTCTTCATATCACATTAATTTGTAAATGAATGTTAGTTTGATTTTTTTTGCATATTATTGGTCTGATTGTAATATTAGAACCTTAAATGGAAAGTCAAATCTTGTTGCTAGTTTAGTTTCTAAATGTGACATAAGGGAGAAGTTCTAGAATGAAGTTTTTGCACATGATATTTTCACTTTCTCTCCTTCATTAGCTGAGAAACAATGGTCCAAGTTCATTCAGCAAGGCAATGCTAAACCTCCAGTGGCCCTATAAATATAACAATAATACTTTATTGTACATTCTTCATTATGACATTGATGGGCCAATGAACTGCACTTCAGATGTGGAGATCAATCCTTTGAAAATTAAGGTAATGTGCTTAAAAATAGCTCTTGGTTGTATGATTTTTAGTTGCTATCTTTGTAAACTATAACAGAAATGCAGGAAACAAAGCAACTATTAGTACGCAAGCTTTTTCTGCAAAAATAATTTGTAGCTAGTACTTTAAGGATTAGATTCTTTTAGAACCGAATTAATTTTGTTAAGTCCTAATGAACTGTGGATTTCTTGACTATTTGGTGAGCTGCAGGAGATATTCTTAAGTGGCTCATTTTGACCTGGCTCTTTTGCTTTGTGGTAAATCCAGAGGTAATTCTGTGTCATGAGTATGTATTGCTCAGTTTCTGTTTGGAGAATAAGGTACAGCATTTATCCCATGCCTCTCTTGACCAACAGAAAAATGTTGTTTTACAGAATTACATTTGCTTTGGCTGTAGTCATTTCCATCTAGCATATATGTTAACATAAGAAGCTATTGGACATTATGGTCTAAGGAAGGTGAAGAAAGCAAAATAAAAATGTATTCATAATTGGCACTCATCACAGATGTCCTGTGGAGTTGCAGAATATTTGGTGTTGTTATTTTATATGATGCAGTCTGTAGGTATGGGATCCCTTCTTTTCCCCATCCCCTTCCTCCCTTCCTAGTTTCCTTTCCCACCACTTTTTCCCATATTATTACAGAGGTATAGTCCGTCAGTAATAATTACGTGTTTAACATTCTGCTATTAGTGCATCATGGTGTTGTAGGTATAGACAAAGGTAGATTCTTTCTGTGTTTTATCAGCTCTGCTGGTAGCCTATAGTTATGCAAGAGAAAAAAGTGATGGTTAGGGAACATTAACTATTTTCGTATGTATTAAGAATTCTAACCTTACCTTCTGTACTTACAGGTCACCATATATTAACTGATGAGTTTTCTGTCATACTAAGTTTCATTTACTATTTTTTTAAATCAAGAATCTGAGTTCAAGTCAAAATGTCAGTGTAGAATGTTTTTCTCTTATCATATGCCACTCTTTAATAATGCAGATCTCATCTTTGCAAACAACTGAGAAGAATGACACAGTTGCTGGGCAGGGTGACCGGAACCATCTCATCATGAGGCGGGATCTCGCCCTCGCTGAAGGTGACGTTCACACTTTGGTAAGTGCCACCTCAGGCGTACTCATTACAAACATTCAAAAATATGTGATTATAGAATCAATGCCAAAGAACATTCAAAAATAGCAACGGCTGTGTTTGAAAGAGCTACACATATTTTTATGCCTTTTGATCTTCTTTCTCCTAATCAGATTAACACCAAACTTTGTTCAAATGCTCTAGCTTTATAGATGGCTAATAAAAATTATTTTAGGTTCCAATTACTTTTTTAAAGTTTTATCTTTTTTTTCTTGGAAAGTCAGATTTACACAGGGAAGGAGAGACAGAGAGAAAGATGCTCCATCCACTGATTCACTCCCCAGGTGGCTGCAATGACCAGAGCTGTGCAGATCGGAAGCCAGGAGCCAGAAGCTTCTTCCAGGTCTTCCACAGACGTGCAGGGTCCCAAGGCTTTGGGCCACCCTCCACTGCCTTCCCAGGCCACAAGCAGGGATCTGGATGGGAGGTGGAGCAGACTGGATATGAACTGGTACCCATATCAATCCCGGCCCGTGCATTCAAGGCAAGGACTTTGGCCAATAGGCTATTGCACCAGGTCTGGTTCCAATTACTTTTTATGGCTATACTCCTTTAATCATTCCCTTTCTTAGCCTTACTCTAATGTTTGAAACTTTAGTGCAATCATTAAAAAAGAACCCAGAAGACTTTAGCAAAAATATATTAAAAGCATATTTAGCATTATAGTTACATTTTATTGAGTCAGCCTACATAATGACTATATGTTTTAAATGTACTGTTTTTTTTTTAATTTGACATTTTTACAACTCGTCCTCTACTGGAAAGCCTAGTACAGTGTTCATGTTCAGTAGCAGTTCCCACTTATTTTTATATCACCAAATTCTATGGATGCCAATATTCAGTTGCCTATAAAAATTTCTCTTAAATGTCATCATTTAAATGTTACTGGGCATCATGCTTGACTCCTATATTTTTCTCAAATCTCACATTCCATATTTCATCAAATTCTATCAGTATCGACTTTTAAAATACCCAAACTCCGGCTTCATGGCCGTTTTACCCATGCCATGGCCTAGCCCTGTCCGCTTTGCTCTCTAACATGGACTGTTGCTTAATGCCCAGTTAGCTTTTTATTCCCTGCCCTTCTCCCCACTGCATTTTATTTGCCAAGTAGATACCTTAGTGATCTTTTTAGATGTAGATGAGATCTTGTCAATCTGGTGCCTATGCGTCTAGCTTGAAAATCAGAGCCTATAGCAATGGCTGTTAGGCCCAGCACCATCTAGGTTCTTCTTGCCTCTCCGCTTGCTCTCCACTCCTTACACCCTGAGCTTCCTCCGTGTTCCACCAGCATGTTTCTGCTTCCAGACTTTGAGAATTGTTCTTCCATCTGCCAAATATCACTGTGGCTTCCTGTCTCACCTTCTTTTAATGACCCTACAGATTAAATTATGACAGAGTGGCGCTGTGACCACCCCACGAAATAGAAGATGCCTTTACCTACTTACCCTGCTTTTGGTCCTGCACTCTGTCTTCCTACAGAATTGTATTTATAAAAATTCAGATGGTTAAATTATTTTAGTGTATTTTGTTTTTAATACGGTTTCAGTACTTCCTTGCCAGTTTTTATTGATCTTGAATTCTGCATCTTGCTATACTTATGTATTAGATCTTCACTAGTTTTAGCTTGGATTATAAAGAGATTTCTCCATGAAGATTTTTGTCACCTGCAACTTTGCTTCATTCCTATTGATCTGGATTTTTTTTTTCCTTGACTCATTACATTAGGTAGACATTCTGGACAGTGTTGAAGGGATGTGGCTTGAGTGGGCACTGTTTTTATTCTTTGTCTCAGAAGGCGAGTAACAAGTCTTTCACCGTTAAATATATGAAATTAACTGTTGGCTTTTTCCTAGATGACTTTTAATAAGTCTAGGGAAGCTCAGTTCAGTTCCTACTCATGAGCTGGCAGGATCAGGTACCAGATAGCATTACTGCATGCATACACCATGTTTAGTACGATGTGACCAACACTTAGGGGGTGCATTTTTGTTTCATTTGGTGCCAATCTTCATGATATGGATAATTACATTGAATATGGCTGAGACGCTTAGGAAGCCATATGATTTCTACAGATCTGTCATTGAGTAACTATTAAGAATTCAGTTAGTTTCCTTTTATTTTCCTAAGGGATACTGTGATCCTATTTTTTTTTTTAAGATTTATTTTTATTATTTTTTCATTGGAAAGGCGGATATACAGAGAGGAGAGACAGAGAGGAAGATCTTCCGTCCGATGATTCACTCCCCAAGTGAGCGCAACGGGCCGATACTATGCGGATCCAAAGCCAGGAGCCTCTTCCGGGTCTCCCACATGGGTGCAGGGTCCCAAAGCTTTGGGCCGTCCTCGACTGCTTTCCCAGGCCACAGGCAGGGAGCTGGAAGGGAAGCGGGGCTGCTGGGATTAGAACCGGCACCCATATGGGATCCCGGGCGTTCAAGGCGAGGACCTTTAACCACTTGCGCCACTGCGCCGGGCCCTGTGATCCTATTTTTATGTCGTACTGTAATCCTGGCGATCTGGGTTTTCCTAAAGAATGTTGAATTGTAGCTGTAAAAGTGAATCTTTTAATATTATAGATATTGTCCTTCTATAACAAATCATAGTAAAAGCAGCACCTTAGGGGATAGTGTTGTGATGCAGCGGATAAAGCTTGCCACTTGGAACGCCCCATCGTGTACTGGAGTGTTCGATCCAGTCCTAGCTACTCTGCTTCTAATCTGCCTCCCTGCTGATACACCTGGGAGGCATCAGATGATGATGCAAATGATTGTGTTGCATCCACCCATGTGGAAGACCCAAATAACTGTTCCTAGTGTCTGCCCTTGGCCCAGCCCTGCATGTTGTGGGCATTCAAGGAGTGAATCAATAGGTGGAAGGTCTCTATTTCCCTCTGTTTCTCCTACTATTACACTGTCTTTCAAATAAATAAATATTTTGAAAGCTAAATTAAAACACCTTTGTTACATAAAGCATTTATAGTCTCCACCATTAGCCTTTTTATGTATCGTTCCTACAAATCTGGATACAAATCTGGCCTTTACATTCAAAGAGTACAATAAAATATCTGATTTTTCAATGTTGAAAAGCTGGTGAAATGGCCATTTGTTAAATGTGAATAATTTGTGTTGACAGGGTTGTGGAATTGCTCAGTGCTTGAGGATTGTATGCCAAGTTGGGCGACTGGACCGAGGCAAGAGTGCAATCCTGTATATAAAGTCACTATTGTGGACTGAAACCTTTATGAATGTGAGTACACAGATGTGCCATTGCTACACTTGTCCATTCATTATTTTCTCAAATAAAAAACCAGACATTTAGGTAACTGTCTCATTATGACTTCCATATAGAAGGAAAACCAGAACCATTCATATTCACTGAAGTCATCTGCTTCATTTAATGTCATCGAGTTTCCGTATAAGAATCTTCCAATTGAGGATATTTTTAATTCCACATTGGTAAGTCACTGATTTAGGGAAATGGGATCAATGCATTCAATGAAATGTCTTAGATATCTTGATTTTGTTTTGTGAAAACAGCAATTCACCTGTTTCATTCATGTAAAGGAATGAAGTTATTTCATAGGATGTTAACCTAGTTTCATATTGCTACTTTGCTCCTGCACTCCAGAATTATTGAAAGCAGATGCTTTACTCTAGCACCGTGTTCTACATAAGATTATTATAATCAGAGCACTTCAAAAAGTTTGTGAAAAAAATATCAAAGTATAAATCACGGTGTCTGTAGTCTTTGAAGTAACTCGTAAGTACAACATTATGCTGGGGAAATTTCAGAGATTTCCTCCCATAAAATGAGAAAGTTAGAAATTCATTTCAACAACTGAAAGTATTTTGGAGATCTTTAAAATAAAAAAAAATCACATCATAAGCTGGTTTGGATTATTTACAAAAATCATTTCAGATGAGTCAGAAGTTAACCTGTTTCCAAAGAAAGAATATAATGTGAATAATGCTAAAGTAAAACGTAACAGACACGCAAACAGTTGGTGATAGCAAACTATTAGTAGGACTAAAACTCTTTCTATTCCCCACTAGGTTACCACTAACGTCACCTGGGGCATTCAGCCAGCACCCATGCCTGTGCCTGTGTGGGTGATCATTTTAGCAGTTCTGGCAGGATTGTTGTTACTCGCTGTTTTGGTATTTGTCATGTACAGGGTAAGTAATGAATTTTGAAAGAGAGGAAGCATGAGAGAGAGGGGAAAACAGGAGAAAAGAGGGAGAGGAAGAACAGAAAGATGGAAGAATGAAAAGGAAGGGAGGAAGGAAGAGTGATACATGGTTAATTATTACCTGTTAAATTACCTGTTAATTTCAGGGAATAAAGTTGTACAGAATGCAAACAGATTTTCTGATATTCTATTCTTTGAAAAAGTGCTATTAGTGACCTGCACTGATGTGATAATAAGGTTGATTTTTCTTCAACTGACAGATGGGCTTTTTTAAACGAGTCCGGCCACCTCAAGAAGAACAAGAAAGAGAACAGCTTCAACCTCATGAAAATGGGGAAGGAAACTCTGAAACTTAGCTGCAGTTTACAACTTGTGTTTCATCCTGACCCATTAGAATCACCATCTTAGCAAGATTCCAGAACTCTGCTCCCCACAACATGAGAGCAGTGCAAGTGTTTGGAGATCAATAGTTCAGACATAGATTGAACACAATATACACCAACTTGTGTTTTTTTAGTTATTTAAATAATAAAATATCAAGTGATAGGTTTAATTCAATGTAGATAGAACAGTAGTGCCTAAGTTATACTTTATATAACATAGTGCCTCCTTACGAATGCTGTTTCTTTTTGTTTGTTTTTAACTATTTTAAAGCAGTTGACATTTGGAGAGTAGCATCCTCATCTTTTGGGTAGGTACGTAATGTTAATACATAGACACTACAGTTGACTTTTCAAGATACTAAAAAATTTATAATTGAATGGACTTGGATTTTAATATCACCTGGTAGACTCTGAAAAAAATTATGATGCTATCAGTTTCTTTCTCATGACTACAAAGGTACACTATTTGTTTTAATATTAGGTACACACTATTAAATTCCTATTTATATGTAATCTGCAATCTATTTCATTGCATTGTTGCTTGTACGGATTATTTTCTGTGGCAAATCCTCTAAGCAAGCCTATGTTGAAATTTAGTTCAATAGTCAGAAGTGCTTCTCTATGTGATAGTTTAATTTTAGCTAAACATCATGAAGCGTGAATTAGTATGGAGTTGAAATTCATTTCCAAAGTATAGCTAATCGATTGCTTTAGTCTACTTGCGATACAAAAAAGAAAGCATTTTCATTAAGACTTATATTTGTAGTTCTTAGATGTGTAATTGCTCTTTAGTATTATGTTTTTAAAGTAGAGCTGAATTTTTAGTTGCTAATTAATTTATTTTCCTTTTATATGTGTATGTTTTCTTATATTTCCAAAACTGATACTAAGTATGGGTCAAAACCAATGAGGAATCTTTACAAGTAACAGGAAGCTTAATTTCCCATTTCTACTCTGTAAGAATACTTGGCATCAAAACTCAAAAGTTAGGTCACTGGTTGACTTCCAGTCACAGCTCTTGACTACTCACATGTGTATTATCTTAAATAAGCAAAGTAATACGTAAAACCAGTCTCGGCTGTCAGAATAACTGCTTAAAAGATATTTTTATAAGCAGTTCAATTTATTAAAACCTTTATAGGATTTTTAAAGATTTATTCATGTAAATCACTTTTCTAGGATTTTTAATAAAGCCACGTAGTGACGATTTATAGCTTTATATGGCTGTAGGGTGTGACATTTCTAATGGACTAAATATTCACAGTTCCCCAATGCCTGGGGGTAACTCAGCTGTTCCCAATAATGGTGTGCATTAGGAAGGATTCAGAGCTATTTAGCTACTATCCTCTCTAGGAAATAACTGTTTCCCTTTAAAAAAAAACTGACCATTTTACATATTTTTTGAAAAAACTCAGATTTATTTATCATTTCTCATTATAATTTCATGCACAAGTGATTGAATTAAGCTACAGAAAATATATTCACGAAATAGTCCATTTAGGTGAATTATAGAAGTTGGAACATACTCAAGTCCCTATGATTAGCTTTAGTGAATTTAAAAATCAGTAGATTTTGGCACATAGACTGTAGTAACTTTTAAAGCTCTTAGTCATACATGATAAGTATTTTAATTATCAATCAATTTAAGCATTTTTAAGAAACAAATGTTTTTATTCTAGTCACCAGTCACTAAGTTGGTCTGAAACAATTTTCACTTATTGTCTTCCCACCTTACACTTCCCATTCCTGAAAACAAATGTTGGATACAAATTCACTGTTTAACACAAGCAAAAGTAGTTGTCTTTACATGATCTATTCTGTCATGTCCTGTAGCTCAGATCATTAGAGATTAACATGATGTTTTAAATTATAAAGTTTAATTTGAAGCAACAATACCGAGTTCTCTTTCAAAAAAGTGACAATTCATCTCTACAGAAATTTAGAGGACTATAATTTGAAACCCTGTTCCTTAAAGAAAATTGGGATTCTTTCTGTTTTAAAGTAGCATGTAAGTACATCTGATTGGATATTAAAATCATTGTTTATGGAAGCAGTTTTAATCTGCAGGTATCTCTTCATGTATTTCTCATTTGTTGAAAACTAAAATCCATCTTGAAGTTTAAAATGTTCCTAATCCAATAATTTAAAAAACATGAGTAAGCTAGAAAATGCTGAAAGCATTGGTACGGAATATATGCTACCAGTATTGATTTCATATATTGGCATTGTTTTTTCAGGATTGATAGATGAGAAATCTTTATGTGAGGACCCTTCTTCCCCTTTGTACCAAATAATGTTTCCTTATTAATTATTTTAATTTTGACCAAATTCCTAATGATTCTGAAAAATAAATTAGTTAGTCAAACTATTGCCATAGTTCTACCTGTTTTGAAACTACTAATTCATACCTAGTTGTCATTAATGTGATATGTATGTTTATGCAAAGACTTTACAGGCTCCTTTAAAAAAAGCTGTAAAGGATTTTTGATAGTGAGTCATGGCCCTAAGGCAGATATTTTTGTGGAAAATAAAGTACATAATAGATCAGCTGCTTTTTATTATGTAAAGATATTTTATAAATCATAGCTCTTCTTAAATTGCAGAATGTAGTGATAAACCTGGTGGAGACGAATAACCTGTTTTTATGAAAACTTGCATGTGGCCATTGTCTATCTCACTGTCACCCTGTTTATACCCTTGATTAAGTTGTGTATTTAAAAGTTTGATAAAGAGAAAAACAGCATTTTTAAATTGATCACAGGTCCATCCAGAAAAGTGAATGAAGTTATTTGTGAGTACTTGGGAGGATACCTCTTTTAACTTGTTGGTTGTCTAGTTTGAACAATGAACTTCTGATGTGCAGCATGTAGTATGTATTTGTATTTCATTATAATTCCAAAAATATAATGGGCTACTTGGGAGAGGTACTCAGTCTTTGATTTTTTATGTCATTGTGCAATATAACAATGTAACCAAGCTTAGATAATTTTGAAGTCCTTAATATAAGCAAAATGTTATTAATATGTTTTATTTTTAGGTTGTGGATATACAGGTGAAGTTATTTACCCCCCAAATGATCCATCTTATTTCAAGATGGACATGAACTATGCCATAGCAGTTTTTAAACTACTTTGAAATACTTTAAGGTAACATGGAAGCTGTGTATATCAAATTAATTTGCTGAGTAACATAAAAAGTCTTTCTTTAGCTTTTCTTGTAATCACCCACATTGGGTGAGACATAAATGAATCTTTTAAAATCTGTCATTTGCTAACTTAATTCAAGTTAGTGAAAACTGGTACAGTGTTCTACTAGTTTCCAATGTGTAACTTGTGACTGTATAATAAACTTGAGCATATGGTGCCACTCTTGTGTATGGTCGTCTTTTTTTCTTATTTCTTATTATTATTTCTTCTTATTATTTATTATTTATTTTGTTATTATATCACCCAGCAGTTTTGCACTAAAAAGAAAATTTCAAAAAAGTGATAGACGTATTTAGAGGAATAAAATCCTTTTTTTTTTGAGAAACAAGATGGCAGAATAAAATAAGGACATGTTTAAATAGATGAGGAATACTTAGCCAGGGTGAAAGAGAGAGGCCATGATTAAGGGATGGAAGAGAGGACAGCCCGACAGAAGAGGGACACCCAGAGACCTGTGGACACAGGGAAGCAGCAGAGAGCACAGAGCAGTACTGTAGCAATCAGATACCCTGGTGGTGGTCAGTGGTCAGAGCTCCACCAGTGGCCAGGTGGGAAGGGGAGTTCACCGGGATCTCAGGAAGCAAGTCCAGGCAGAGGACCGCCCATCCTGCTGATTGCTTGGTTTGGCCATGAGCAGAAGCAGAGTGGGATAGCCGAAGCAGGCGGTGCAGGAACAGAGTGGATTGCATGGCTCAAATCCTTAGGAGTGCCACCTTGGTGCCATTTTGTTTACTGAGAACAAGGCTGTGAGGACTAGAGGGACAACGGTGAGCTGTGCATGCACTAAGCCAGGATCAAGCTCATTTCTGGCTCAATACATTGTACTGGTTCCATGGGGAAAACAGTATTGATTTGCCATCCTACAAGTTCCACCCAAAATAGGTCCAGGAGGCCCCCAGACCTAATCACAGCAGGCTGAGAAACTCCACCAGTGCCACATTGGGCACCATCTTATGTACTGAGGAAAAAGCTGTGAGGGGTTAAGCTGCACAGGCATTGAGCCAAGAGAAAACTCATTTCTGGTTCAAAGCATTGCGCCGGTCTCAGGGAAAATTAGCATCCTACAAGTTCCACCCAAGATAGGTCTGGGTAACCCAAACCCAAAAATCATCAGGCCCAGAAAACTACCAGTGCCATATTGGGCACCGTTTTGTGTATGGATTAAAAGGCTGGAGTTGGGGGATTGGAGGAACAAGCTGGTATAGCATTCTTATATCAGATAATACAGAGTTTGATGTGAATAATATTAAAAGAGGTGAAGAAGGACACCACATAATAACCAAAGGATCCATTCAGCAGGAAGACATCACCTTACCACTTTTTTTAGCATGTTTTTTTTTTTTTTCATATCCAATTTTACTTGGCTGTTTTCTAGTCTGGATATAACTTTGTTTTACTTATCTTAAAAGGGACTCTTTCTTGCTGCAACTTGTAATTTTTTAGTTTCTATCTTGTTTATTTTTGCTGTGATTTTTATCATTTCTTCTTGTTCCTTTCTTCTTGAGTCCTTGAAGTACATTATTAGATCATTTATTTGAGATTTTTCTATTTTGTGTAAGCACCTGATCTTACAAATGTCTAACCCTTTCAATATGATTTTTGTTACATCTCATAGGGTTTGATATTTTTGTTTTTATTTTCATTTCTTAAAAAAAAGTTTCTTATTTCTTGAGTGACACACATAGGTCATACAGTAGCATGATCTGCTTCAAGAAAGTTTTTTATTTTCGCTTCTTCAACAACACATTGATCATTCAGTACCATGTTATTTAACTTTGTGTTGTTGTAAATATATTTCTTCCTATTGATTTTTTTCTTATGGCTTTTATTTAAGCGGATGTACAATAACTAATTAGAACTATGATATTTAGTTAGGAACATACAATGCAGTATACACCTCTACTTTCAATGTAAAGATGGACTCACAATGAAACTATTAGATATATCTTGACGTTAGCATGCTGGACTCTGTGCCGTTGTTCATACCTACAATGTCAGAATACACTTAATTAGCAGAATGATGGACTTATGACTGTTTATCAAGGAGTATACTACTGTAATAATATGAGGGAAATCGGTGTGGGGGTGGAAGGATTTAGGGAATGGGGAAGAGAAATCCCATAGCCTATGGAATTTTATGATAAAATAAAAAATAAGACGTCCCAGCATGGCATCCCTGGGTTCCCATATGGGTGACAGTTTGTGTCTCAACAGTCCCCCTTTCCACTCAGCTCCCTGCTTGTGGCCTGGGAAAGCAGTCGAGGACGGCCCAAAGCCTTGGGATCCTGTACCGTGTGGGTCACTTGGAAGAAGCTCCTGGCTTGTGGTTTTGGTTCAGATCAGCTGTGTCCATTGTGGCCACTTGGTAAGTGAATCAACAAATAGAAAATCTTTCTCTGTCTCTCATTCCCTTTATAAATCTGACTTTCCAATAAAAATAAATGATTTCTGTAAAAGAAAGATTTATTTGAAAGGCAGATTTACAGAGATAACAAGAATCTTAAATTCATAATAACTTAATTATTTGAGGAAAGGAAACAGGAGGAACAAAGGAAATATGAGTTGTGGCACCAAAGGTTAAGCAGCCTCTTGAGATGCCTGTAGTACACACTGAAGAGCCCGAAGTTGAGTCCTGCCTCTACTTTTTTCTTTTAATTTTTTTTTGAGTTTTTTTATTGTTATTAACATTGTATTATGTGATACAGTTTTATAGGCACTGGGGATTCCCCCCACCCCTCCTGCCTCTACTTTTAATCCAACTTCCTGTTACTGTGCCTGGGAAGTAGCAGATGTGCTTGGGTCCCTCCCCACCCAAGTAGGACACCTTATAGAATTCCTGACTTCCAGATTCAGCCTGTCCAGCCCTGGGTGTCTGGGATAGTGAAGTTGTATATGGAATGAATCTTTCTCCTCTTTACTTCTGTGAGGGTGTTTCTTCTCTTTTTTGATGGTTTACTTGTTTTAGGAAGAATTACAAAGAGAGAGGTCTTTCTTATTCGCTTGCCACATGGCTGCAGTGACCAAGGCTGAACCAGGCTGAAGGCAGGAGCTTCATCTAGATCTTCCACATGGGTGGCAGGGACACAAACACTTGTGGCATTTTCCACTGCCTTTTTTAGGCGATTGACAGGTAGTTAATGGATTGGAAGTGGAACAGCCTAGACACAAATTGACACCGCAATGGCCTGCCAGCATTGGCTTGTGTCATTATCCACTTTGTCATATCACCAGCCCCATCTCCCTCTTTCACTCTGCCTTTCCAAAACATGTTTAAAATTTCATATAATCTCAGAAAGATAAATAAATGCAGGCATTTGCTTGTATAAAAATCCTTTGGTTTTTGAACAACCTCAGTAATGTCTGGATTTCATTGCATTGACCTTTATCATTCAGCAGATTGCTTTGAATATACATATTTCATATCCTTTATTCCATATTTTTTACACATTTGCAATTCTTTAAAAAGTTATACTCTCATATCTGCTGATATATCAGAAAAAATTCCACTTACAATTTATTAAATACACAGATAAGCTGTCTGTCCAAAGAAAGTATCTCCTAAGTTTTTGTAGTGGATTGATTGCAATTTATAAAGGTAACTTTTAGTAAGATATCAATAGATTTTGTTTCTCATAAGTCTGTTTTAACTAAAGAAAGCACTTTTTCTCAAGGGTGAGACCATTTCCTAAAAAACAACAGCAAAAGGGGCCCGGCGCGGTGGCGCAAGTGGTTAAAGGTCCTCGCCTTGCACGCCCGGGATCCCATATGGGCGCCGGTTCTAATCCCGGCAGCCCTGCTTCCCTTCCAGCTCCCTGCCTGTGGCCTGGGAAAGCAGCAGAGGACGGCCCAAAGCTTTGGGACCCTGCACCCATGTGGGAGACCCGCAAGAGGCTCCTGGCTTCGGACCGGCGTAGTATCGGCCCGTTGCGCTCACTTGGGGAGTGAATCATCGGACGGAAGATCTTCCTCTCTGTCTCTCCTCTCTGTATATCCGCCTTTCCAATGAAAAAATAATAAAAATAAATCTTTAAAAAAAAAAAACAGCAAAAAACCAAAACAAAAAGAAATGCTGGCTTTAGTTTCAAATGCAACTTAAATTGATGAGAAGTAGGGAAAAACGTCATCATGGAAACCTGCTTTTATTCATCAAGTTTTGAAATTAGAAACTTTTCATACAACATCTCTGTTTGCTTTTCATTGAGAAGAGCAAGTGATTTTTATATTATTAAAAGATTAGGCAGATGTGCCTTAACATAAGCAGGATTGTTCTTTTGATATACTTGTATTTATAACTGGCTTGTATGTATAACAAACTATGGATATGTACTATCTCTTGTTTTTGATAAAAAAAAAAATATTAAATGCCTGCTTCGGTGATCTGGAGTTTCATTTGATAAGGAGACCTCCTTTCCCATCACAGGTAGATCCTCTCAGAGACAAAAAGTAGGGTGGTTTAAGCAGTGGCAGCATCTTCATATGGCAATCATTGTGCCATTAATTTCTGATATTGTTTCAGGAATAAAAGAAAAAAAAGTGGCATTGCTAAGTGTAATAGTAAAATACATTGAAATCATTAAGACAAAAGTGGCAAAATGTTGGCTTTAATCATGTTAAATTACATCTAATGGCTTTTGTAGTGGAAAAGAACAAAATTAGAGAATCAGTAAAAACTATGTTTAAAATGTTTCTAGAAGGAACAGAATAGTGAAGTGTCTTCCATTTATTTAAGTTTTTTTTTTCCTAATTGGAAAGGCAGATGTACAGAGAGGAGGAGAGACAGAGAGGAGGGTCTTTGTCCGCTGATTCACTCCCCAAGTGGCCGCATTGGCTGGAGCTGAGCTGATCCGAAGCCAGGAGCCAGGAACTTCTTCCAGGTCTTCCATGCGGGTGCAGGGTCCCAAGGCTTTGGGCCGTCCTCAGCTGCTTTCCCAGGCTACAAGCAGGGAGCTGGATGGAAAGTAGGGCTGTCGGGATTAGAACTGGTCCCCATATGGGATCCCAGTGTGAGCAAGGAAAGGACACTAGCTGCTAGGCTACCACACCTGGCCCAAGTGTCTTCCATTTTTAATTCAACAGCAGAGGAACTTTATATTAGCAAAACTCCCAGAAACCAACTTTCCTGGTTTGATATTCTTGAAAGCAAGATGATTTCCTGTTGCT